TTGAGGGTGGAGCTCTTCAGTCCTCACTTCAGCTTTCCTCTGGGGCCAGGATCTCTGCAGCTGTAGGGAGAGCACAGCTCAAAGTCCCAGAGCCGGTTACCAAGAGTTCCCCGAGAAGGCGGCCCTGGGGACTGCCAGCTCCAGCCAGCCCTGCTGGTGACAGGTTTCAGCCAGGTCTGTTTTCCAAAGAGGTGCTGTTGCAGAATGAGCAGCCCAGCCTCACTTCACCAGATGAAGCGGTTATCAGCTTTGAATGTTGTAAAGCACTGGAGTACATATAATCATTCATGTAGATATTAGCATTACTAAACGATACCATGTAATTACACATTTTAATTAACTGGGTTTAGCCTGCCACCAGTTTCCAAGCAGTCCCTCCCAGGAAATGAGGGAGAGTCCTGCTTAAATATATGGTCCAGACCCATCCTGAATGGGATCAGTCTGAAGAAATTACAGGCTGAACCCCATGCCAAATGGCTTTAGGAGGAAGCAGTTGGGTTTTGTCCTTCCCCACAACTGTCTCTGACACAACATTCCATGTAAAGAGGAAATTTGTAATTTTATAAAGGTATTTTTATACTGGTTTTTTTACGTGTGCATGTGAAATAGGCAAACATACTCTTCTTTCCACTGTAGCAAGCCTTTCCATATTTGCTGATCATAATTACGCTGTTTCTCTTACAGGCATAGCCTCACTGTAAGGTAACATCTGTCATTTTGCTTCTACCACAGCTGTAGCTCCAAAAGGAAGCAATGCCACACAGTCAAGCCGATGTGTTTCTTTCTAGTTGTACTAATAAAAATTTACAATCGTTTTCCAAATAACTTCTCTGTTGAAAATGTGTTTTAAACTTTAGAGAGACTAAATGGTAATAAGGAGATGTGAAGTTATAACTTTAGCAATAATGCCCAAAAATAGCCTGCAAAAAGCATTTTTGTACCCTTAGCTGGCTTTTTTTTTAGCAGCCCTGACAGCCCTGTTAGCACTGCAACGCTTGTGGAGATTCTGGCACTCCTACCACTGCACACCTTTCATTTTCTGTGTGTATGCTTCCAATACAGAATATTACCAGGAACAGACTGAGAAATCTGAAACCTAAATCTGCAGTCTGAACACATTTTGCTCTATGGCTATTTCTCTGGAATGCAATTAGTTTGAAATAACTATCTTCTTTTAACTTGTACACAGCATTTCAACAACATGCAACCATGTTGAAATTGAAATAAAAAGCACGCAGAAGCTTGAAACAGTTAAAATGTATGTTTTCACTGCAGTAAGGCAGCCAGGACCATGAGGGAAAGAGTTAACACAACCAGAATAAAACAGAAGCAAATAATACAAAACCCACGCTGAAGTTCAGTTGTGAGAACATTCTTAACGCAGTCACACTCAGGACTTGCCCATTAGCCTCCGGAGAGAGCCAGGGATGGTGGGAGCAGTGGGCACTCTGCCTTGGCTGCTCCTCAGCCTTGGGCTGCAGCCAGTGGGCCTGAGGAAAAAACATGGCTTGGGTTAAACATTCAGCTCAAACCATGCCCCAGGTACAGACCAAACCTCAGTGCTGCCAAAACACTTTAGTAAAGGCTATGGCTGACTGCCCTCTGCAAATGTTTAGCACAGATGTGCCTGCAGTGAAAGAAAAATCAAATAATGCACATCACAAAAGGAGCTAAAGCTGCTCTAGGTGTAGCTGCGAAGTTGGGACAATTGGAGGTGATTGTTTTGGTTTGTTTTAAAACGACAAAAGCCTACATGCTGTGCCACCCTCCATGACATCTGGAAGGCACCTGTGAGATGATCTTAAAAAGCTTATTTTCAAAATGGAAAAGTCAGGTCATGCTGTGCCTAAGTGCAGGAGTGCAGAAGCAAGCAGGGGATCATGACGTTTTCAGTGCTAAAAAAATAATAAAGGGAACATTGAACTATTGAGAAGTACAGAGAGAGCGATTCATTTGCACCCTTCATTTGGCACCACTTTAGATATGGCCAATTAACATTTTGAAGCTTTTATTAAAGACTTACTACCTTCATCTTCCCTTCACGAAAAGATAGCAAGTGATCACAGCAAACAGTCCCCAGGTATATCTGCTGCTTGTCCATCACAAAAATACCAACCAATCTGACCAAATCCACCCAAAAAACTACCAAGTACCAAACCCAAAAAAACCAACCCCCAAAAAACTGTTTTACCCAACAGATAACAGATAATTTTATCACCCAGACTGCTTATCAAAGTCCTCTACTAGAACACAACCTATAGAGGAGAATGTTAAACAACACACAGCATCAGCGGTGCAAGACACAAAATAAAAAGTGGTATTTTGCACCATTTCAAGAGGTACAAAACCACTTACCATCCACTAGGGAGAAACATTTAAAAGGATCTGAAGTTTCACAGTAACCCAGAGAGCCTGGCACTTTTGAGACCCAAATGAAATCATCTTTCATCCAGCTTAAGATGTGTCCTGAAACTCTCACCGCACTAAGCAGTGACTAGTAGGGTGACCACACTTGCAAAGAGTTGCACAATAGGAATTTAAATGTCCCAGAGGCATCAAGTCATCTGGTCTCAGGGCTGACAGATGACTCCAACTTGTTTTTCTTCATGTAGTTATTCTGATGCCATGGCTTACAGTCAGAAGGTTTTGGAAGATCTTTTTCTGAATATTTACAGCTTTTGTATAAGACACATATAAATTCCTGACACTAAATGATCTACCTTCCAAATGTGCTGGTAGGTTCTGCTCCTGCAGCAGAGGCAATAAGAGGACAGGTCACAGGCCAGTGTTGTCCTCCAAACTCTTTTTCACAGTGACAGAAGGGGACAGAGCTGAGCCCTGCACTCCCTCAGATCACTGCTAAGTCCCAGAACTCCTCCATAAAAGCTCAACATACCTCAGTCACAGAGTCACAGACTTGTAGAACATAACAACGATCTACCCTGTAGATACAAATGCCACAGATTTAAGGTGAAGATGAATCACTCAGGTCAGACAATACAAACAAAAACAGTATTTGACCTCTAGGGCAGGAAAGCACTGGCCTGGCCTGTTTCTCTGGAGCTCTTTACAACAGGAGAACATCTGCTATGAATTGCAAGGGCAGAGCTGAGCCTGCCTTGGGGCTGCGCAGCAGAGCAGATCATTTCACTGCATCCCAGTAAGTCTCTTCCTGTACAATTCCACCCTTGTACCAGCTCATCTCCCTGCACAACCTGCTGGCTGTTTTTCATCTTCTTTTTGAACACCTTGCAGCTCCCATGGCTTGTAGAGAAAGCTGAGATGTTTCATTTGTAACAACTGGAGGTCACTCCTGGCAAGGTGCCTCTGCAGCAAGAAGGATGTTACAGACAAACATGCTCAACATGATCTCTCAGAATCTGAACGTCTGCCATCACTTCAAAGGTCCCCACTAACTTTATGTTAGAACTTAACAAAACATTTTGCCTTATGTTCAACCAGATTAAAAAAAAAAATAATTCAGAAATGGCTGTCATCACTGGCTCCTTCCCCTTTTTTTCTTCTACAGAAGAAAAACAAAAAGGTTATTTTTCTCTTTTTCTCCTCACTAACACTAGGGATGGAGTCAGCCCTAATTACATTCTACCTTTTGAAAACAGAACTGTTTTAAACTTTTGGTAACATGTGGTGACCGGCATTGGAATGAACTTAGCGTGCCCTCAGTATCTGCCCTGCATAGCAGCAGCTGTCTCAGACCTCACAGAGTTTGTTTAAATTCTTGCAGAGATCTTAAAAGATGTGGAATATGTAATGTTGATCATTGACACGTAAAGCTCATGGTTCAATTAAAAAGCAGAGCCCTTGCCCTGAACACAGTGCCTAAAAATAAACATAAATCTTGGCAATTGGAAAGTAGAAACTTAGAAAGTAACAGAACCAAAAAATGGGCTCAATACGAATAATTCATTAGCAGCTACAGTTTGAGAAAATTTTTTATTTCAACAGGTGTTAGTGGATACAAACAATTTTCCTAAGTTCCTCTATAAATTTGCCATGTAACTGGCAAAGGGAAGTAAAGTGAGGGAAGTAAAATCGATATTTTAGTCTGGAACCCAGAAGTAGCCACATGCACCTCAACCACCTTTGTTCAGTGGAAGAGCTGAGTGGTGGGAAAATGACAGAGGCGGGACTCATCTAACTCCAAGACAGATGAGCAATAGCACTCAGATATGCGATATACAATGGGTTATACCTTCTTCTGAGCAGCCTTTAGAGACACTTCAGCTGATTATTATAAAAGTCTGGAGGAATATAAAAACACCTGAGAGTAAAGAAGAGTGATTTCATCAGCTAGAAGCTGCTATTTGTAAGAGAAAGCCTGAAGACAGACTGGAGTTGCCCACTGGCAGACAATTCTGCAGTTCAGGCAGGAGGTAGTTTAGAGAAAAGTCAAGCAGTCAACATCTGAATTGGGTGAGGAGGAAAAGAAGTCCAGTCAGTGGTGAATAACATGGAATGGCACATGGAGTCAAAATGGAGGGATGCAGTAGGGCGATGAACTAACACAGAGAACAAAAACTGCACTAGGATTTGCCGTTTTTTGGAAGAGAAAGGTGAGGGACACACATGGCACGTGTATCTTCTGGGCTGCTCTCCTGATGGTTAAAAAGGTCTTTGGCCAGCACTGAGATGGCCCATGCAACAGCCTGGTGAACAAACTGGACCATAATCGTTACAAAAATTACTGCGTACACACACTGCAACAAGTCTTGAAACAAGCCAATCAGTAACATTACATCCCAGCCCTTGTGCTTACTTCATACTTCAGCAAATGGTGAATCTCAGGGAACGCTAGGATTCTAGGGTAGCACTGCAAGGGAGCAGGATGACTTACCTGAACTGGATCCTGCAAATCTGCATCCATGCAATACCATGAGGTATTATGTAATGTTGCATACAAGAAATAAGCAGCATGAAAAGTCTACTGTATGAAGAAATATAAAAACCCAACCCAACTTCTGAGATATTAAACATCTTAATAAATTATTGAAAAGTTTTATAAACAAAAAAGCTTTTAAGGAAATGTGTGCATCATCTACCTTGGTTGAAGAAAACAGAACCACAGTGTACCATAAATCAGCAGTTACTACTCTTGTGTTTAACCAGTTAGCATTCCAACTTTGTAAAATACAGTAAAGCATCTTCTTCACACAAAAGAGAATTCAAACCTGCTTTTTCTGCTAGAGATATAGCACTGCTGCCCACTTCAGAAGGACACACACAGACTTTGGCACATGAATTATTATCAGCAAATGTATCTGTATTAGTTTCCTTTGATAAGTTCAGAAATTCAGTCTTTTTAGAGTTCAAGCAATTTGTACTACTAGAATCATCCTGAATGTCTAGTAAGAAGGAAGTGTCCTCTACTAGCCCATCTCTTGAACAGGCCTGAAAAGGTGTTTTAGATGTTGGCAAAACACTGTCAATGCTTTCCTCCTCTGATACAGCACCTGCAGCTGAGCTGAAAGACACAGAAGTAGCTTGAGACTCCCCTCTATCATTCACACTGCACTCAGCTTTCCATGTCTTAATTGCTTCCTTCCGCCCCTCGGGGGTCAGTCTGTCAAGGCGCTTGGCTGTCAATAACGGAGATGGAAACAATGTTCCTTGGAGAACTCGCAGCAAATATCTACAAAATAAACACAGTTACAAATAAGCTGCTTAAAAGCAAAGTACTTATATGTCCATGTACTAAGCATAGCACATGTTCAGCTTTGATCAGCTTTGATTTCTATATAAATTATGAACTCTGTTGTTACAGAAATTACTGTTTCTTTCCCCTCAAAACCAATATTTAATATAATATAAATCACAAAATATTTTTATTACTCAAATTGACTTTGAGAACTAAATTTCACTAAAAAGATGATAGCTTGGTCTGGTAGAGTCATGAAATTTCCTTTAAATTGAGGGTTGGAGGGTAAGACCTCTAGCCAGAGATTTATAACATCACTGAGTCATAGAAAACTAATTTTGGTAACAGCAGAAATCTGTGATTATAAAACAGAAACACACCTAGGTAGCAGAGCAACACAAGTAGTCAGGAGGAAAACTAAGTAAAATACTGGGTCTGTCATGTGCTTTTCCATGATCCAGTAAGAATTTGATCGTGGGTTGTGGGTTTTGCAGGTTGCTCCAAAAGCCAGAGTGAAGATAAAGTAACACAGGATGCTGCCAACTATAACTACTGTATGTATCCAAGTCTGCAAAGTAGAAAAGGAAAGAAATTAGATTTAAGCTCTAAAACAGGAAAACCTGTAATACCTGTGTGTACACTGGCAAGCACGAACATGCCCTTCCTCCAAGGGCAGCTGCTGAATGTACCAGAGGATACATCTCGTCAGATAATACTCCAAATTTCATACAAAAAGGTCGAGAAAGAATGGAGCCTTCTTTCCACAATACATAGGTACCCCAACCACCCACTTTATTTTATTCTAATAAATTCATAGCTTTTCATTCTTTTGTGAAAGACATTTTTTGTGCCATTTGCCTTAGGCTACCACCTCATCCTCTGCAGCAAAGAAAGCTTTCTCAATAAAAATGGAGGCCAGATCTTCACAACACCACCCTTATGGATCTTGCTTGAGACGCTAATTAGCTTTCTACACTGGAGTTTTCTGTAATTTTACACCTAAATGACTCTAATAGGAAACAATATTGTCACCGGTCTGACAGCTTGCTGACATTCAAAAATGCCAAACAAAACCCATTTAAGTCAAGTTCTCTATTCAGAGCGTGAATACACTCATGCTATCCATATATTCTCAATAAAGACATTTTTATCATGGCTGCCATGCTCCCAAGAGAACAATGAAAAGACTGAATCACAACTCGAAATTTCATCCATTATAAAACAATTCTAAAAAATATATATTAAAAAAATCAGATAAAACATAAAACCCATTAATCTGTGCATCCTTCTACTGTATTTTCTTTAAAATTATGCCAAATAGCCAATTATTACCCTGGTAAAGGCTTTATCCAAGGTAATGCAGATGCTTCAGCTTGTGCAGACTTAATTAAAAACTGCAATAACGTTTCTGTAGCATATTGGTTTTCCCATTCTGTCATCAAAATACCCCTCTGAATTGTTCATCCTGGCAACAGAGTAGATCATCAGCTCCAAGCATTCAAAAATCAACAATTCACATTGTTGCCTTTGAGATGCAAGCTTTGGGAACTAAGGAAGTTTCAGTAGATCACTGGTTGATTTTATCATTTGCAAAACTGAACTGACATCCCCAAAATTCACCATACCCTTATGAGGCAGGATCCTTTCACTGTTTAAAAATAATTCTGAGGCCAAATGTTATTAATTTTTGTCATATGAGTAATTCCATTAGTTTCAATGATAGGTACATTAGAAGAGTTCATATGGCCACATAAATGTAATGTTTAGGTTTTGGTCCTTTTACATGTATTCTGTTTTGTATATGAAGATCTTTTTTCCATTTAATTTTACTGAGAGCTAAATATGCACTTATTCTGTTAGGAATACACTGTTTTGGAAACAAAGTACTCACCACAGACTTGCACTCAATGAGAAGGTGAAACAGTATTGTGAAGAGTGCTGCTGTGTTTATAGGGTTTCCAAAAGAAAGGATGTCTATGTCTGAGTCATAGTAAGTCTGTAAAGGAAGACAGCAGTCAATGTAATATGTTCTTTACATATAGTCCCAATACAAAGTGTCATGAATAGTTTCAATGCCATACATATTTGCATACAGACATTTCAGTTCCATTCCAACGACGATCTTCTTAGTATACATTTATATATGAGGAAGAAAATTAAAATACTTCATTTATTCTCTGATTTGCCTAGGTTTTAAGCATGCCAAAATGTATAAATGTATTTTGTATCCAGCACTTACAAAGTAAGGCACAAAAAAGCAAACGAGACTTTGGTAAAAAGCATCCAGCAAGGTTATCCAGAGAGTTGAAGGCAAGTAAGCCTGTGAGAAAAAAACATAATAACATTGAAACAAACTGAACAAATTGCTGCATCCTTAACTAGCTTTAATTTGAACTTGGGGAAAGACTACCTGCAGAAATAATTCCAGTTAGTTTCCCAGTGAAAGAGGCCCCTTTTGTGTTATAGTTATTGGAATGAAGATCTCCCTCCAACCATAACTGTTAGTATTTAAATCAGCAGCCAGCTCTGGGAACTCTGATCTTACAGCTGTTTCTGTCAGAACAGACCTACTAGAGCTGTAGCTAACTGAGTACTAAGGAAAGGAGGGGGGCTAATGGACAGTGATGTACCCTGCACTTTACCATCACTGAATGCCAAGTCTCACTTCTATCTCCACCCCCTTCTTTTTGGTACATGTTCTGCTTGACTTCTCTAACATCTCTAATATCTCTAGTACATTGCTTCACCTGAAATCCTTAATTTCTCTTATCATCCCAAAGTCTGATAAGATTGGGTCTATAGCTAAAAAGAGCCAACAAAAATCTTCTGAAAAACAGATTTTATTTGTGCACATATTGCACAGGCCTAGATGTTTTTCTAACAGAGAAAGTGCTTTAAAACAATGTTTGTCTGAAGTGAACCATGAAAGAAAGACAAAAATGGCTCAAATGCTGACCATTTCAATTTGCTTCAGGCCAAGCACTCTTTAACCTACCACAGATTTCTGGCTCACGGTATACAGCTGTGGGAGCTGCATGAGTATCTCTGCAGATACATCTTTGTCCAAGACACCGTAAATGATGGGTGGCACCGATGTGAAAAGGAGATTGAAAAGAATCAAGATCCAGTAGTCAGTCATTGATGTGCCTGAGAACCCACAGAAAAACTGGTACCAAAATAGGAGGTTCACGTAGGTCTGAAAAGTCAAAGACGACATGATAAAATGTTACTCACAGACAAGTGTTTTAAAAGCCAGGAGAAAAACAGGCAGATCCTAGGTCTGGTTACAGTAATCTGTGGAAAACTAAGTATAAATGCTACAGAGCTCATGCCATCTGACACTTGAAAATTATATTTGACCAGCATGCAATTTTACATTTCAAAATCAGACATGACTTGTTTAAATAGTCATGCTGCCACCACATTAGTAATGCCCATTACCCACTGTTTAATCAAATCAGACAATGGTTTTAAGTGAGAAATTCAGTTCAAGAAATAAGAGTCTCTGGTCTCTGCAGACATAAATGAGAAACTGAATTGTTTGACATATGCTTTTGATCCCATTCACAATAGGAAGAGAAAAAAGAAAATAAAGCCCCACTAAACCCCTCAGTGCCCCCACATATGCAAACTGTGTTTTCCCTGGGATTGGACAGCTACATACCACATTCTTGTAGAAGTAGTAAAGTACCATGTTGGTAAGCCTGGTATAACACCAGTGACCATGGACAAGCAGCAGCTTCCTGAGGTGTCTAAACTGAGAGATTGCAAAGTCACTTGCCATCACAGCCTGCAATGCACATGAAGAAAAGGATCAAGGGTTGGACTTGATGATCTCGAAGGCCTCTTCCAACCCAGTTAATTCTATGATTCTATGATATGCCACATCCAAACTGTTAAAGACAAACTTCAGATACTGCCAAGCAAGCAACTTACCCGCTGTTGGAAATTCTTATTTTATGATTTTTTTATACATAGCACTTACAAGGTTACTCTCACTCAGATATCCCCTTCCATATAAAACTTTACAACTAACAACACAGCATAGGCAGGAACATGGCTGTTGTCATTCCTACCACACAAGTGCACAGAAATCACTGACACTCAGGTTGCTCATTTCCCTGCAGGACATGAGTAATAGGGAGCTCAGTGACAGGCAAAAAGATCTGTTGTTTGGAGCTTGACCTGCAACATTCAGCTTCTGATTGCTCCTGGCAGAATGCAGAGGCCAGGGTGTGAGCTCAGGCTGCAGATTCTTGCCCGTGTAAGGGAGTAGACTGTGGAGCTGTTGGGTCTCCGGTGTACACTCTAAAGTGATTTGTAATGGAACCTGACGTCATTTGCAGCTGTCTTTGGATACACTACCTGCATGCCTTCTTGGCCTGATATTCCCACACCAATGTCAGCCACCTGGATCATACTGACATCATTGGCACCATCACCTATAGAGAAAAGTGAGAGAATCAAAACTAGCTTTGCAGGCCATCACATGGCTATGGAGGTGGTAGGAAAAGACAAGTCCCAAACAACAGAGAGTTCAGAGAAAAACATTTTTATAATCAACAGTGCAGCCTATGGAAAACGCTAATGAAAAGAGGATTAATAAGTGGAAGGCCTGACTGAACTGAGTTATATTCTCCAAACGGATAACAGCTGTTCCTTTTGCCAGAATCTAGTTGGCATGCTGTAACAGAAAATATATGTGTTTTAAATCAGAGCCAGTTATATCCCCTCTGCCTGTGATGGAAAGGAAATACCCTCTTGCTGCTTTGCACACGTTACATAACATTGCATGACTGATGCTGTTCTTATTGCTTTAGATTACTGCAAGTTTATGGTCTAAATTTGCTAGTTCAGAAGACTAACAGCATCTTTGTGCTAGAGAGAACTATGATTCAAAAGATTATCTTGGTTGTAAAAAAATTTTTTACAGACACTAACAAAATACAGGAGAAACTGGCTTCTACTTCTTTTCAGAGGAAGGAGGATAACCACAGGACTCACCTACAGCTAATGTCATTGCCTTTAGCTTACTTTGCACCAGCTTGACCAGGACACTCTTCTGTAGTGGTGTGGCTTGGCAGCAGACTACAGCCCGACATTTTTCTGTGAGTTCCAGGAAAATATTCTGTAGGCTGTCATGAAGGACATGCTCTAAAGTCCTTCCATCAATAACCAGGCCTGCACTGAAGCCTGGAGCTTGGGTGGAAGGACTTGCAGAGACATTTTCAAGCTTCTGCCTGGGTTTTTTTTTGGCAGAAGCATTCTTCTGGATGTCTTCTAAAATTTTGTTCATTACCAAGGCACAGACATCCTAATTAAAGACAAAAGAAAAGCAACTTATTAAATACTGTTTGTGTTCTGGGTCCCTTTTCAATTCATAAAATACTTATGGAGAAAAGGTCAAATGCAGCTCCTGTATAGCATTTCTCTTTAATCCAGAAAAACTCAAACATGAGGCTGAATAATTCTTTAAAATCACTAAGGATGCAGTCTGTTGTCAATAGAAGGGTCTATGATATAACTTTGCTTAAGTATATTGGTTTGGGTATTGCATAAGGAGAAGGGAAAGAACTGAAGCAAGTCAGAAAAACTTCAGAGACTATCAGGAAAAGCAACTGCTAAGGATACTGTAATATAGATACAGCTTTCATAGAAAATTTTTGCTCCTTAGATTTCTTTTGTCTGGCATGCAAAGCCAAAAATGCATTTCAAATCAGATTACACGTGAGCTGCAGTGAATTATTGAAGAACTGGCCCTGTATAATTTTTTATCTTGTCAGAATCAACATAACATGCCCAAAAGTTTATTGATATCAATATATGTAAAATGCATGCTACATAAAAGAATAAATCTTCTCATCATTTTACTTTGAAATGCAACAGTATCAAATTCTATTTTTTGTTTCAAAGCCCAGTTAGAGGGAGGAAGAGCACTACTGCAAAAGTGTCTCAGTTCCCACTGTCAAGTAAGATACTCACTACCCAGTAGGAAGAAAAAAATTAGCAGAAATCAAACTCCAAGCTTTCCTCAAACATAACTGGATTAAAATCCTTTATTTTTCACTTTATTTTCTCCCCAGTTACTACTTGCCACATTATCGTATGGCATCTTAAGAAACACAAACTGCATTTCTTAAGTAATGTGTTTTTCTTAAGAGAAACAAAATAGAATGAAAGGTCTTAGAAAGGCCTCCAGTGCTTTGGAGAAGTCTCAGATTTTGTGGCTGCTCTGAGGAGAGACATTTCATACATTGGCTTTACCAACAATCTCTCTCATAAGCAATCCAAAATTGACAAAAATCAATCAAAAACCAGATTGTTATAAGCAACCACAAGAGGTCGAAACGATGAAGTAGGATTAAACTTGCTGTCCAAACCAGCATTTTTAACCACTCTTTATCACACAATTCAATTAGTGGCTTCAGAGGGAGAAGGTGGTTTTTTTCTCTGATAAAAGTGTTGACAGATTAGTTTGAACTGTGTGCAGTGTACTTTAATGAGACTATTCCTTCTATATCTTTGCAAGACAATCATGGCTGAAGGCAAGTATTACAAAAAGCAACATAAAACTTAATTCAATAGAATTTGCCCAACAATAATTCTCACACTGCTCATATGCTATAGCTCACAGCCATTTGAAATGTCTCATAACATAGAATTGTACAATCATTTGGGTTGACAATGCCCTTAAGATCATCCAGTCCAACCATAAACCTAATGCTGCCAAGTCCACCACTAAAACATGTTCCTCAACGCCACATCTACGCACCTTTCAAACACCTCCAGGGATGGTGCCTCAACCACTTCCCTGGGCAGCCTGTTCCAATGCTTGACAACTCATTTGGTGAAGACACTTTTCCTAATATCCAACCTAAACCTCCCCTGGCACAGCCTGAGGCTGTGTCAACTCCCTAACTTATCAAAACAGGAAATTAAGCAGTCTTAATTGAAGTAATTGATCATAATTTAGGGACTGTATATAAAGAAACAAATGTTATATATATAGAAAAGATTTCATATGTTACCCACACAGAAGGAAACCATTAGTTTTCCAGTATTTTCATCTTCCGAGAAATCACGCTGTCTTTATTTGGTTGAGAATGCAGAGAACATTTTGTTTCTCTATACTGTCATGTGGTATAGCCTAACAGAATTTTTCAGCAGAGAAGAAAATCTAATTTTCCACTCACCCTACTTTGTGATTTAAGAGTGAAGATTCTGTCATCTGGTTCCAGCAGCTTACAAGCATAGGCAATGTTGACAGCTGTCTCTCTCTTGTCACCTGTCAGCATCCATATTTTTATTCCCGCTTTCCGTAATGCCTGTATCGTGTCTGGAACACCCTCCTGCAGGCGATCTTCAATGCCAGTGGCACCTTAATTTAGACAAGCAGAAGGATTAGTGCTGCTGTATTTCCAAAGACAAAATGCTGCAAGAGTGACAGGACAAGATGGTTCTCTGTGCTTTCCCACATCCAAAACCAGACACCCTACTGTGAAATGCTTGGAAAGGGGAGGGAGGGAGGGAGAGGGAAAGGGAAGGGGGGGGAAAGGCGGGCAGGAGGGTGGGATTAGGGGATTAAGGCAGTGAAGGAAGGTGGGATTAGGGGGGGAGGGAGGGTGGGTGGAACTGAGGATTAAGGGAGTGAGGGAAGGAGGGAAGAAGGGCAAGATTAAGGGAGCAAGGGTGGGAGGGAGGGAGGAACAGGGGGGAAGGGGGAGAGATTAAGGAGGGAGGGAGGGTGGGATTAAGCAAGCACCTTGGCTGTATGAAGCCATTTAACATCCTTGTTCTCACTTCCATTTAACGTTAGGGTGAACCCATACTGGTTACTGTCCCACCAGAGACACAAGCAAAAAAAATGCCTTGGCCTGCAGGACAGCAGGACCCCACAGCAGCTAGACTTCTCTCTGCTGGCTTTATTGACAAAGGGTACCTGTATATCCTTAAAATGACATCAGTTTAGAGCACTGCTCTGGTGTCTCTCCAGAAACTGAAGTCAGTAATTCCAGAACTCTTTTTAGTATCAAGGTTTATGCCATTTGCACTAAGCAGATATGGCACAAAAATGAGGAAAGCAACACCTTTTTACAATAGGACCTGTCTCTCTTCAGCTTCTAGCTTCTAGCATGAGCTGCCTTTACCACCAGTCTGCAGTTGACCTTTTACACACCTTTTGAAACATTTTTTATTTCATTTCTGCACAACTGAATGACCTTCATGGTTTCTGCATGAATGGCTGCTGCAGAAGCATGCCTGAGTTCGTACCTTCATGTTATTACAGGAGGACACAGCACAAGTATACCTGCTGTGCCACAAATGCAACAGTGATGGAAAACACATCCACAAGTGGGATATCTCTGAATGTTTGCATAGGCAGGCCTGTGATTTGTTATTATAATTTCATAAATATCATTAAATTGATATTTAAAAACTCTAGTGAACACGCAAAAATACAATAGAAATTATTTTTAAAAAATCAGTAAAAAATTGTTTACAAACAACAGGAGAGTACCAGCTGTCTTCGATGTGTTTTACTAGCACAAATTTACCAGTGAGATTTATGAAAATTCGGAGGTGACAGCAAATTCTAGGTCTGTAGAAAGCTATGTGTTACACAAACTGAGATCAGCACAGCTCTCTATAAGCAAATCCCGATTATGAACATGATAAGCAGTTTCCTGGGGGTTAGAGCATTTTCCACTTACCGAGCAAAGTTAGGTCTGTCTCAAGCCTTGTGGCAGATTCAAGCAGCAGCTTCTCCCTGTTGTCAATACTGGTTTCTGCTAAAAAATGGTGACTTAACCACTCTGCATATTCTGCATCACTCATCACCTACACAGGGAGAGAAAACATCCGGCATGTATCTACACTGTGTTTTCAATGGTGCCTCAGAAGTGTTCTCATGGTAACTTCTGCTGCCCAAATCCTGAGCCTAGAAGTGGAGCCCCTGGCAGAGCACTGCTCTGACATGTGTGTGCTCCAACACATCCATGGACTTATGGATGTTCAGAGAGTTAGATTACTTAGCCAGCCTACTCACTGGGACCCTGTGGGTTCCTGGAGCTGCCTGCCAGACTTCCACTTAGATGGAAGGGAGCAGTCAAGGGGCACAGCATACTCTCCCTACTGCTCTCTAACTGCAGCACTGAGACAGCCACAGAACCACTGCACAGCTGAGTACAGCTTGATGACTGCACAACTACACAGCCTGTTCTTTCACTTTACAAAAGGCTTTGTAAAGAGGCTTCTTGCCTGTTTCGATCCCTAAGGAATTTTACTTCTGATCAGCTTTGAATTTAAAATGGAATCTCAGAACATCACTGAAGTTGTGCATCTAGTTTGTAACACTGCAAAGTGTTTGTGACATCCAATAAATCAGGTGTGACTTGATTTGTTTTCTGAGCTTGGAATTCCAACCAGGGTAAGATTTACATAAGGAGACCTGCTTAGGACTCTTATAGAAAAATCAGGGTATTTAAGAATCCCTGTTTCAGAGTTAGGCTGTGAAGCTGCTTGGCATCCTAAACTGACAACAACTATGGCAATCTAACAGAAGTCAGGAATTGATCTGGGTTATCTTACAGATTCCTCCTGAAAGAACATAAGGATAACCAAAATGTGGCAATGGAAGAATCAGTTTAGAAGCTGTGATGTTTGCTCCATTGGTGATACCTCTCAGGCCAGTCACAGACTGCAAACATTCTACCAAGTGTGTATTAAAAGGAATACCTTCTTGGCAATACACAGAGTGCGCAGTCCTCTTCTGGCATAGTCATCCAAATGCTGCTGAGTTCTCTCTTTAATCTTCTTCTCTTCAATTCCTGAATTATTAGTACATGCTATCACACAAAAAGAAATCAAATTAAACATGTTTGTTTAGGCTAAATTTAGTGGAAAATTTTGAAGGTCTAAATACTTTCTTAAAACACCAAAATGTTTAAACTTTTTAACTATGAATGTATCTTCATATTTGCACCATGTGCTGTCTCTGTATCTGCAGTGAGCATGCAGTGCACCAGTCTGCACAAGCAGTGCAGAAGAATTCATGTGGTACTGATATGTCTTTGCTTTGTATCAAAATCTTTTTCTAAAAAAAATATTTTTTTCTAAAATGAACTGGGCCAAAAATACTCCAGAAGCTTTACTGGTTTAGTGGGAGGGACCCAAAAGGGCAGTTACTGAAAAGCTTTGATAAAAATAGCTTGTTAAGGGGTGGACTATTGAGACAGGCATTCAACTCACCTAACTTCAGACATGCAAAAGTTAGGTTCCAAGTTTACCTTGAGAAGCAAAGTAAGGAAAGGCACCTCAAGAACGAAATTACTCTCCCAGTGAGACGACAGATTTTGGAGGTACTGTATCTGTCCCATGGCCTAGAGAGGCTTTTTGTCTAGACTTTAGATGGCTAATGTTGGGCAAGTTAAAATCCACTCTTGAAACCGGAAACATTCCTCTTCCTTATGAATCATACAAACCAAATTCCCTTTTGCAGAAAGTGAGCCTTTAAACATAACTCCTTTATTTTACTTTTCAAACCATAAAAACAAACAAACAAAAAAACCCACCTTGGAACATCTTCTGAACTTAAATATACTTAGGTATTTTTTTCTAATATACACAGGTAATATTTTCTCTTTGCTCTCTTCAGCTAAAAATCAGTGACTGTTTGCTACAGTGTATGAATAAATCAGAGTTTAAACAACATGCATGGTGCATCCCTCCTGCGGCCCGTTCAGAAACATTTACACCTACACAACAGGGCTCAGTAGATATTATTATTATTATTACACCTAGAAACACAGAAATAATAAGTAGTTGAGGGGAAAAAAAAATCAAAAAGCACTGAGAGCTCTCCAAAAGCTGAGAAACATTAAAGGCTAGAGAGTATCTCATTCTAATAAACACCACCCACTGTGTATCAGAAGTCAACACTCATGCAGATGACCTTACTTTGCAACTGGAAATACTTCAGTTGGCTCCAAAGGGTCTGCTTAAGACACCACTAAATCCTTTGATTAACAGTTGCTTCTCTCTCCTCAGTTCCCACACCAGCACACAGCACAGATAGATCTAGGTGACATGCAATGCTACCTTTCTGGGCTCCCTGTAAGAACTATTGACAGACAATAGTTCTGCTTGCTTACTTGTCCCTTCTCATGAATCATGCCACCTTTCACTGTACTGAAGAATGTACAAGGTGAGCAAAGAATTACAAGTTCTATAGATACCTTCAGATGCAGTTCTCAACAAATCCATCATGACTGAGTCTGCACCTTTTGTGTACACCACCACTTTGTTGGAGACTGGATGCCGAACCACCACTGACATCCTTTTCCGCAGTGAATCAAAAGGCAGGATATGCAAAAGCTGAAACGTTAAAGATCCCAGACCTGCAAAGTCCACAGTTACTTGATCTGGAGTCCTAGACTGTAAAACGCATTTATAAGCCCTAGCAGCATGAACCAAAGCAGCTTCATCTGGACTCTCAGCTTCATAACACAGTTTAGGTAGGGGGGATAACTCAATAGATGACACAGCATTGCTGGGTTCACAGCCAGCAGCTACATTCACTGTATCTAGTTCTTGAGGCACTTGGGAATTTTCTGGGCTGTCAGTATTGTGAGGTTCACCAGCCCTTTGAGCAGCTCCATTCAAAGCAGGTGAGGCCAGTTTTATTTTGAAAATAGAGAGTTTTCTCACAAAACTATTGGGGCTTTCAGATGATGACTCCTTCACACTTGGAAGTGGGGAGGAACTCAGTCTCCGGACTGACAGCCTCTGGAACATTTGCCTGATATCCTCAAGTGATTTAATAGGCATCCTGCCCAGTGGAGAGAGTCTCATCTGGAAAAGAATAGTTAGAGAAAGCATTTATGTTAAATTCTTCATATTTTATTATATTAAAGAAGGACAGCTTACAAACTATGAATGTTTCTCAATGAATGTAGTATTTTAAAATTTACCATGAGTTTGACTTCCTATATTAAAGACGGGCAGCTCAAGTAAACATATAACCATACGAGTACACTAAACAGCTCCTTCTAAGCTGTAAAAACACTTCAGGTCTGAAGATTGTATGTGTTTCAAGTTTGATTCATGACTCTATGCAATACTTCTTTTTAGAACTTCCAGTAATGAAAAGAGTTAGTATGACACTGTAACTTCTAAAAGTTGTGGCAAACTGAACTGAACACTTTAATCCTTGTTCTGAATTAGAACATATTTATGAAGAATAAACCAACTCCATATCCCTCACAATAACTAGCTACAAGAATTGCTAAAAATACAGTACCTTATCAATACTTTTTCAATATTTTAAATTAACAGTCAGTTCTTCTTTCCTCAACGTTACAAAATAATTGGCTTCCTGTTACTTAGAACAGTTAGGAAGCTGACAGCTTAAAACAAAGGAACAAGGCATGCGAGGCTGACACTCCTTTGTCATTGCTGTTGAAAAGTTAAGAATGAGTTACCAGAAAACATGTTCTCTTTGCCACTGAAAAGCATAAATTAAAGACAGACCGTGGTTTCAGTTCTACCACCATTCCAGCAAGTAATGTGCCTCCATTCAACATCATGGAAATAGAGACTAGGAACATTGTCTCTCCCTAACACGACACTGAAATTTGCCCTTGCCTTGAGCTCTCTCATTCATTCCTTAATTGTGAACTCAGAAACCTCATGCCACATTGTACTTCTCAACCTACTTACTAGTGCTTCTACTCTGCCAGCAAGGTATTCAGAAATATCTCTGAATATTTCTGAATATTCACCTGTACACTCTCACCTGTATATTTTTCTCCATAGCATATTAGGAATAGCTAACTATAAACTATGAACTCAGGTGTCTCATCCATACACGGACCTCTAGGCTTCCTACGACGCTTTCTGGCAATGCTTGGAAGCACAGTAAAATACGAGGCTTATTTATACACAGGGGGTACTTCATACCCCCTAGAATATGTTTTGGGAATGTCTCCAGCCATGGTTGTAGGTTCACTGCCCAGATGGGCACAAAAATCTAGTCCTGCACATCACTAATATTTTTTTCAAAAGGCAAAGTCAACAAACGGAAATCACCAAAGAATGGGGGAAAGAAATCGAAGCTGAACTTGAGATTTATCCTGCAACACAGTCAAATCTGGAAAAAAATGGGGTTATGAAAATCCCACCCTCAAAAAACCCCAAAGATTTGAAAAATATAGCAGTATCTTTAAATATAAAGTTAGATTGGTTGTGTGCTTTGAAAACAACAAGTGGTCACTCCAGATTACTGAACAAGGACAGTCTAGCAAACACACTGTTAATTCAAGGTGAGACTAGTTTATGTCATACTGTAAAGCATTTTTTCTTCAGATTAATACACATAAAAAATTTAATCTTCTTATTTTTGCTAAAGTTTTATTTGAATTGTCAGGGAACAGGTAAAAGCATTATTATTTCCAATATTCTAAGAATCTTCTGAGATTATTTTTATCTTTCAGCCAAGAATAACCTATTTGTAAACGTAGCCTGAGTGTTAGTGTATTCTTAAAAGAAGCTGTGCCCATGTCTAGAAAAAAACCCTTGAGATTATGGGAAAAAAATTACAATGGTAACTCAATCTCATAATTTGCCTTGTAAAAGTTATGAACAGTCTATACACAGAAACAAAAGTTTGGAAGCCAAGTTACCAACATTGTTTTGTACATTAACTCATTGCATTCTACAGGTTTACAGTAATTCACCTCTTTTTCCAACAGGACAAAGAGGAAAAAAGGATAATTCTTTTAATGTCAGTTAATTGTTTACTTCCTTTTGTAATCAAACCAAAATGGAGCTTGGTTATTTGCAAATATGGCCAAATTGCCAAAAATAAAGCCTTCTTACCTTCTGACGTGGCTGATGGGGGACTGAAACTACAACAGTATTACAGATTGCCAGAGCAAGAAAGAAGTCAGTGATGTACATTGTCTCCAAAGATAACTTGCTGCTAGCTTCTTCTGACTGTTGATAAGAATGAAAAGAAATTTGACTGAACTTCTCCAGCAGCTGTGTGTCTGGTATCACATCCGTTTCCTATTATGAAATGAAAAAAGCTGTCCATTAGGTTATAAGATTAATCTCAGTCTCTGGAGGTTAAATCAGTTTCAGATGAATGACTGAAAAACTTCTCTCCTGTGCTTAGCTGGTTATACTAGAAAACAGAGAAACACTTTGGCACTTTCACTGCCTTATGCTAGTCCATTGAAAATCGAAAACTTCATGCTCAAAGAGGTAAACAGTAAGGTCTCAGTTCACAGACACTTCAACAAAGATTAAGTATGATGAATGTTATTTAGATACCTTCAGGTAAAGAAGCATTTGCCTCTCATAACCTGAAATAAATATTGGTCATCTAAATATTTCCTATTAAAAACAAAAGAAACTTCTAGAAACTTCTTAAAATAAAAGAACAAACTGTTATTAAGATGAAGCTCGCAATTTCAGCTGGAGTGGTCATGGATTCACAGCAGCAAGAACCAAAGCATACACCTTTATTGATCCAGTGAGAATCTGCAATCCCAGCTGCAAATAGGATGCTGCCAAACCATCATGACAGGCTCTGATTTTGATGGAAGAGAGAGGGGATTTCTTAAATGACAAGCACTCTTGATCAAATGGGGGGTAAAAAGATATTCCCTAATGAGTTACTTCAGAAATTTAGCATCAAACCCAACAGCTTTTACTTACAATGGGACTGCTGAAAGCCATGTGTCCTGAGTGGGGACCACCACCTGCTCCATCTTCCCTTATGAATGCAGGATAACTACCAGACAACCGGTTCACAGACTTCCTGTTCAAAGGTTCACACACAGCTCTGCAGTTGTGCCTCTGCCATTCTGATGTATGTGCTGAAGAGCCACATTGACAATCAGCTGAATCCTCATCCTCTGAATGCATCTCTTGATAGGATTCCAACCTCTTTGCTAAGGAAGGAGAAACAAAATTATTGTTCCATGAGCAAAAAGAAACTTGTCTAAAACACTGCCTAAAGGTTCAGGAAACAAAATTTTAAAGTAAGGAATTTAATCTATAGTTAAGAATAATCCACTGTTAGTCCATAACCTGTAAGAAGCTGTCACACTGACTTCCTGTTTGAGACACTGTACTTCCAACAGCAACATTCCACTAGAGTGAATCCAGAGGAGGAAGCAAGAATGACCAGGTTTCTAGACAACATATACCACATGGAAACAATAAGATAAGCTGGAGTTACATAGCCTTCAGAAGGGCAAACTGATGGGAGCCAAATAATAGTCTTAAGTGAAGGACAGTTGCACCACAGATATAAATGTGGCTCTGTGTCCCACAAACCTAGCTAGGAAGGTCAGTGTTGTAAAGAACCACTGTAGCAAATGGAAACACTCCTATGCTATCATGTGCTTGATCAAGAACATACCTAAGTGTTTGCACTGGTGTTCTCGAACAGCATTTAACCACACGACTCAAGCTGAAATCTGAATCCAGAAAGCACTGGATCAGTGTACACTATTCAGGTTTCACCATTTTACCTCTCAGTGTGAAAACAGCATGCAATGAGCATACACTAGCAGTTCAGTGCCTAAAATCCACAGAGAATACAGAAAAATTGGAAAAATTGTTCTGAGGACTGTGTGTTGCATATTTGTTTCATTGAGGTATGAATACAAACAATGGCAGCCTTGAAAAAACACATTATTAACACACAGACTTGTCCAGTAACACCTTTAATTCCCTATTTCTTTCTTATTTCAAGTGGTAGCTACAGTACAGGAAAAAGTGAAAAGTGTGGTATTATTCTGTTTTATGCAAACATAAAACCTATCCGCAGTTCACTGCTCAGCTCTGTTGCTCAAAATGAGATGGAAATAGGTTTATTATGTAACTTGTGAGTCCTTTTCCTCCTAGCAAAGCACAGGAGCTTAACTATGTTCCAGAAACGAGGTACTAGATTTGCTAGCCCGTTAAGTTCTCCATATTTCCTGTTATCTTCTGTTTCTGGAACATAAATGAAAGAATCCTGTCTCTCATCTTGCCATTCTGATGAGCCAAGGAAAGCAGAGAGACCAGAGCTTACACCTTCCTTGGCAGGCCATCCTCCTGATGTCCACATGAAATTAGAAATGTAATTCTTTAAAAAAACAGATAGGTGAGAACATAACAAACTGTGGCTCTCCCCAACTACTAAATACAACATCCCATACGAGGCATTGATACCTTTTACTGGAAAGCAACACCTGTGACTTAGTATGTGTTTGTAGAAGCAGGTTTGGACAACAAGCCCATTCCACTATGCTTCTGGGTTGTCAAGAAGAACTGCATGCTCAGTTTGAAGTAACATGTGGCACCTCTTGTAAAACCACACCGCTCTACTGCTCTACATGGTCCAAGAGGCACATGTTACTTTAGACAGAACACTGCATGGGAGCACCTATATGGAGGATGATACTGAATCACAGGCATTGCTGTTGTGTGCTTCCCTCATGTGCATCCCTTTACCCTGGGTAACACAGATATAAACACAGAGATAAATGGCCACAGTAGGTGGCTTGTATGGAAAAGACTGTACTGTGTTGCACTGCAACTCTTACCATGTGTAGCAGGAGCCTTGCAAGCAGCAGCTCTACGCAACTGAACAAATACAAAACAGGGCTAAACCACAGGACCTCCAAGGTTTCATAAAGTGATTTTCAGGGCTCATATAATTTCTAATTTGTTAGGAAGAAACCAATGTTTATTCTCCAGGAAAAAGACAGGGTGCAGGAGGAAATAATTATGAACATAACTAACACACTAATAATTTTGGAAGATAACTCTATGTGAACTACACAGAGAAGTACACGTAGATGTATTTTCCCTGGCACACTGAGACCTGAATCAGCTACAGCTGAATCATTCACACTACTCTTTGGTTTCTCTTCTAAAATACTTTTCCTTCCTTTAGGAAATGCTCTGAAAATACATTCTACTTCTTATTTAAGTTATTCATTCACCAAGTTTGAGACTTAAAAATATTCTCACTTTACTGTAGTCATCCTTCCCAGTAAAATCATGCAAAGCTAAAGAATTATCTGGAAACTCACACCATAACACTTTCAAAATATGTGCAGAAATTGCTGTAAAATTTGTTTGCAACCATCTGGTCCTGTGACACAGCAAAAGAAGGGCTGAACTGATTCACTGCTGTGGCCAGCAGGGTGTGCCTTTTGCTCGCAGTTGTGAGCAGTTCCATCTGGCAGCAAACCCACCAATACCACAAAGGGGGTTTAATACATAGCTGTGCTTCGTGTGCCCACCTGTCAGCACCTCACCTTTGATCTCATATGGAATGCTTGCACTGCCCACCAGCAAAAGAGCAAGGGTCAGCAGCCACTAGTACTTACACATGGTAACCGTAATAAAAACTTTGTGGTTTTATATAATTAATAAAATAGCTAATTAAATAATTCATGTCACTCTGTCCGGGTTTTCTCTTGTGTCTGCAGTTGTATCTTCTCCTGGCTCACATAAGGCTTCAGGCTGGCTCTCATGGAATGTATACTGAAAGATGGTACACTTTTAGACAACAAGACAGCAACAATCCGTTAACACCACTTGGTAGCTTTTTGGCTAAGAATAAACAGGTGTGTAAGATATAAGTAAGAATACAACAGTCGCTTTTGATGGAGATACTTATCTTCGCAGCATGTACAATCACATGTACACACGTGATTGACTCCTACCTTAAAATTACTGTTAAGTAATGTATTATACTGTTAAGCATGTAATTAATTTACATTACCATATCTTCAAGGGCAAAAGTATGTTGAATTGGAGCCTTAAGATACACTACATAAAGCTGGTACACTGCTATCTCAGTCAACAGTATGTGTAAACCCTAAAATGCTAGGTTAGCACTGGCACTCTAGTTGGGAAAAAAAAAAAGAGAGGAAAGACTAGATAGGCAATTTTCCAGTGTTCTGGCTTCTGAATATTCCAAGGAGAGAAAAAAAACATGGTAGTCATGACTTCTTCCAGAGCAAGTAAAGGATATTTTGTTCATGGTATCAACATGGTATCACGTTGGAAAAATGACCCATGTGAACACAGATTTAGTGTCTTACCATTTTCCTCATGGCAATACTCCCGTCCTGCAATGCTGCATCTCCGAAAAACCATCTTATTTTCAGTGAGGGTTCCAGTCTTGTCAGAGAAGATATACTGAATCTGGCCAAGGTCTTCAGCAATGTTCAGTGCTCGACACTGAATAGTTGAGTCTGTTTTCTCGTGGTAAAAATCAATGTCATTCTGTATTAAATAGATTTGTCCCAATTTGACAATTTCAATTGAAACATAGAGGGAAACTGGGATCAAGACCTATCAAAATAAAACATGGGGATTAAATAAACCCAAAGTCTTTGGCCAGTTACAAACACAAAGTAGCTCTACTGAAGCTAAAGAGTTACTTCAAGGGTATAAATGAGATCAGAATATGACCCATGTTCAAAGCAGGCTTAAGTTACCTGTAATAAAATTATCATCGTCCAGAACATATAGAACCCTCCTAATATTGGAGGAACCGATTTCCCATCTGGCTTGGGGATGTTAAAAAAAGGTATTTCCGAATACCTGGTTAACCAAATCCCGTGGCCTTGAAAACAAGAACAAGATAAAGTGAGTCAGTTTTATATAAACTGTATCACAGTTCAGAGTCCTTGTGTTACCTCTTACACTCTGCAGTCCTTTCTAAGCTTTTAAACTACCATTTTCTTTCTTGTTTATTTCTTCAACGGGAACCCAAATATCAATGCACAGAAAAAAATACCTTACATACATTTCTATCAAGAGCACATCTATACAGCATATCTCAGAACTAAGGAAATATTAACTACACTTCACAAACACTTATTTTCCCCCAAAAAAACCCCTCTGGCAATTAATTTCTATCCTTGCTTGTTCAGGTTTTAGTCTGCCTGTGAACACGTCATCATTATCAAGTGTAGTCTGAAAAAGTTAGTCAGAAAAGTTAGTCTGTTTAGATACACTCAAGGTCACCATTTAATCAATCCCTAAAATATCAAATCATTACAGCTCTAGTCATGCTAGGTCTCTCACCTCAATGTGTACATGCATCTCCCGTTACCATAAAAATCCTAAGAGAAAGTAGGAGTTTTGTGGAGCAGTAGTGAGAGAAAAGAGAAATCAACCAGAGAAACAGGTTCCAGACATAAGAACTCACACCAGGAATATACTTCTTGACCACAACCCAGATTAAACATGACAACATGAACTAAAACCTGGCAGCGCCCCCAATTTTTAAGGAATCACACATGGATAAAGACCAACAAAATGAATAAGCTCCAAAATAAAACACTAAGCTGAGAGAGGAAAATAGTAGGAGTCTGCTGATTCTCACTTACCTATTGCTCCAGTTAAACACATCAAAATTAGAAGTAGAACACACCAAAGAATATCAGTGTTCACTCTTCTCTCCAATTTACTACGCTTGTAATGAGGGCCACTGTTATTCAGCATGGCTTTGGTTTCATGACCTGCAACCAAAAAACAGGTTGAAATTCTCTAATGACAGGTATCAGAACCACAAGTCCTTTATATTTCTAAAGCTCTGGGAAACAGAATATTTCTTTTGACAAATATTTGAACAGTGATTATAAATATGAGGAAATTAATTTCTCCTACAATGTGTGAATTCTGTTGTAAAGAAAACTCAACAAGCTAAATCAAAATCTGTCATGTGTACATTAACTTTTGTCACTAATGTTCCTTCCTATAGAAACAACCTCATTCTTGACCCTTCTATATTCTAGTGTTTTCTACAAAATCCTACACCTCTATCACAACTATCTGGCTGGATACATCATACAGATTAGCTTAGAAACCTCTGCCCTTTGATGCAGAACACTGAAGAACAGCACTAGCTTCAGTTTCAGATAAGAAAAAAATCCTAAATAAGCCAAGCGTTTCCATGTTGACTTCAAAACCTGGGTTTACCACTGCGAGTAATAGTTAAGGACAAGGGCCTGTTCACACACAACAGTTCTTCTAGTAATAATTAGGCATATCAGTTTTTTACATTGTTAAACCAGAAACAAACTTCCCCCAGACATGAGTTCTTAACATTTCTAGCTACAGCTGCCTTCTGCTGGATTCAAGCTCTTGCTCTCCCAATCCCCCTTTGTACGATACTGTTTCTTAGGGCACACAACTATCTTGTTTGCAAGGTGATCTGTGAAAGCCAGGGTGGTTCACTAACCTGCATAAACCACTATGCCTACAACAGCTTCTGTGTTTCTTACTGTGCATCCTCGCAGGAGTAAATTGTCCTTGCTGAGAGCCACTCGATCCGTGTTTGAATGCTCACTGTAAAAAAAAAAAAAAAGCACATCACGTCAGCTGCAGGACTCCAGCAACTACCAGTCAGGTTTTGCAAATGTTGTGGGTTTCTGTGGCTGGTTTTTGTTGTTTTTTTGGTAGTGGTGGTGGGGGCTACAAGGGCAATTTCAGTTAAAAGCTGTTAGTAGTTGTTAGTAGTTGATTTAAATCTTATTCTGTTAGTAATAAATCTAAGTTTTATCCTCACTCTGAGTTTGTTTTGCCTGTTAACAACTGCCTTTCTCTCAATCCTTAACTCTTGAAATTCCTTTACAGTTTTTTTTCCTCTCCTCTGTCCACCTGCAGAGGGGAGGAGAGAAGGTAATGGAGTGGATTTCATATGGCCCTGGCATCTTGCCAGGGTCAAAACACTACAGCAAAACCATTAGGGAGTAGATTTCCCAAAGAAGCTCCTAGTCACTGACCCCCATTCTGACATTATTGATGGGACTTTTCAAAAGAATGGAGTAACGTGCAAGCAGATCACCCTTAAAATGCAAGCATGAAGGCACTGCATTACAATTTTCTTGTGTTTACAATCCCAGAATTTGCCAGCTGTCATATGAGAAGTAGGCACTGAAACTCTATAACTTCTACTTGGATTACCAGCATCAGAAAAAAATTGGAGAAAATAGAAAATTCCATTTTAAACATATTGCAAGCATCATCACTCCTGTGGTATACTTTCAGTGCAGGCAGGCCCACTGTCGAGGTGTTTCCTCAGACTAAGATTCAAATATATTTATTTTTCTTCTCAAATATCCAGTGTGTCAGCGTGCAAAGGGAAGAATATAGACATTATAACTCCCAAAACCTGAAAATCAGTTACCCCATAAAACAGCATTTTGTTTTCCTACTGTCTATACAAAATCATAAACCTGTAAGAATCATAGAATGGCTGGGGTTGGAAGAGACCTTAAAGATCATTTAGTTCCTTAAGCTTTCTTCCAACTCTAACCCTAACCCTAACCACAGACTTCACCTGAAGAAAAAAAACTACAGATAGGCACGCTGGTCAAAAGGAGTTTGATCAAGTGACTCATGGTTACAGAAAACAAATCAGAGTAGGAAAGGAAGCCAGTCCTTTTGATTTCCAATTCTGAGCAATGCAGCTTGCCCAATCAGGCCATGGTCCAGACCAAATACTGTAGAGGTCACACATTATTAAGAGCAGATTTGAAACAGCTATTTCAAGTATGAAATACACAACTGCAAAACAGCCTGAACTAAGATGTTAAAATATTCAATAATATTCAAAATAAAAAGCACCAGTTCACCATCTGCTTCTCAGAAAACCCTTCTGGAGCTCTATCTGTTGCGTTGCACTCAGAAAGGTAGTGGTGCAAACAGATCTCTCTCCATATTGTTATTTTTTAAAGCAAACATTACAAGCTCTCTGCAAAAAAGTAAGAATGTCAAAGCAAATTACAGTAGTTTAAAGAGCCATCAAGCCTACTTACACAAAGCCTCTGAAACGACTGAGGTTGTTGTTGGGACTTTCACACTCTATTCTACTGGAAAATTCCTCTGGATCAATTTCAGAGAACTAAAGCCCCGAGAACAAAAAAAAAAACAAAACAGAGAACATCATAAATTTATAGGTTTGGATATGACTACCTAACAATGTAGCTTTGAAACTGTAGGTTGCTGGTGGTGTTGATGGCTTCCTATCCTGCATAAATCAGACTTAAAAATCACAGGAGGACTTCCTAGTAAATATCAAACCCTGACAAGCATCAGTTGCATTGCTGATATTCTGAGAACACTGGAGAGGAGAAAACGGGTGGAAGAGTGAGGAAGAAGAAAACAACAAAACCAGTAAGAACATCTAAAAGGAAGAGATTTTCCATGGGTTTTTTTTCATTATATGGAAAAAAAAGAAAAAGAAGAGGCACCGTCTTTTCTGCAAGCAGTATTTCTTGCACAGGTACAATACCATGACCAGGATGCTACTTGGGGTAACACAAAGAAAGCAGGTAGAACTTTGTAATGATGTTTGAGACTTACAAGTACCAAAGAAAGGGCTGTTATAAATGGTCAGAGGTACATGTTCCTAATGAGAAAAGCCAAGCAAAACAAATATCCTGTATTAATGAGAATGAAGCATGACAAGAAGTAAGAGAAAAGCCAAAAGGCCTTATCTTTGGAATTACCTGCTATTGCAATTTAATTTCAGTTAATGGTGTATCACTATGCCTCTAGCCTGCAGTATAACACAGGCTAGCCTCGGGTATAGCTGAGTCATTTCCAAGCTGAGTACCTGCCACTAACTCTTTGGAAAGTCATTCATCCTACTGTTTAGAAGAAACAAATACACAACTTAAAAGTTTCAAATTCCCAGGTATAAATCTCTAATTCACAGGTATTACTGAATACATCTTCTGCATAATTACAGGTTTCTGAGAAGGGTGTACTCCCTCAACTGTGTGACTTCACACTGCCAGAGTAGCAACTGTGAGCTTACAACACAATCCTGTAAGTAGAATTTGAAACTCAGAAGACATCATAGTATTAGCAAGTACTTTGTTGGCTTGAAAAATTTTTACTATGTTTGTCTGTATTGATGTGTTGCACTGTATTAACCTGAAGTGGATTAACCCTCATGGATGGCACATCATGCCTTTGGTATTACCAGACCCACTAAGTAACGGGACTTAGAGACTACTTCTCACTTCCTCACCACTGCTGAACATTCAGAGGCAGTTCAGCCTCTTCAGTACTCTTCAGGCACTTTTATCTCCAGAGGACTAAACAGTCTGTTGTTATGGGGACAACATCGAGTCTCCTTGCTGCTGTTTTCATCACGGTGTTTCAGCAGCAGAACTCAGTACCAAGTGTGCTGAAGACTGCAGAAATGACAGGATTCTTTGATCTTTTGATATTGTCTCCTTTGTGCCAGTCTCCAACATTTTGACTGCTAGGTATAACACTAAAGTATTGCATGGAGTAATAATATATTTGAAATATGAAAAAAGAGTGAAAAAGAAGCTAATATCTGCTCTTCTTTTTAGGTCTTTATACAGCACAGCCCCTTCTAAAAAACTCAAATTTCTCACCCAAGGCATGCTATGAACCATACATGACTTCTGGACATTTACCTGAACAGTTAATTTCACTGGCTTGAACTTCAAATAGATCTGTCTTACTCTGGGTTATGTTCACACATAAATATTTGCTCCAAAACAACTCAAGCAACAAATTATAACTGTTACCTAATAACTGTTTTCAGATGTGGATTGCTGAGCTATCATGAATTAGGCAATGCAAAGCGCTGAGTTGATTGGGTTGTTTTAGTTGACCATCTGTCACGTCACCTTTCTTACACAACTAGAAACACACAATTATCACCTGCTCTGCATATCCTTTCACCACCTGCCTCTGCTTCAGATTGGTTTCACCATCCAGGCCTGCCGTTTCAATGTAACAGATCCCATCCAGGTCACTGGAATATAACAGCACCATGTCAGCAGGAATGATTTCATTACGTGAAAGCCGGATGAAGTCCCCAACATTGACATTTTTCCAGCATTCATCTATGTATTTCTTCTCCTTCCTGAAATACAAAGAAGAACAGTGACTTTTTACAAATGCATAATCTGAAAGTTCAGACAAACACACTGTAATTAGAAAATGTCTCAAATAACTATTTATCCTTCCAACCATTAAAAGAACTCTGATATGATAGTGCATTCAGCTCAAGCTGAATATAATTACAAAGAATCAACTCTGGAGTCCAAGCCATTTTTCTGGGAATTACATTCAAGACACCCTCTGAGAAATATTTTAGCTCTATTTAAAATTCAACACACTTGCTTCCTGTCTATTCATCATTCCACGAAAGGAAAGACTGTTTTCAGTATTTCTCTTCAGGTCTTCACTTTTTCTTGCAATTATGCAACCAAGAACAGCTTAATCTCTTCTGATAAGGCCTTTCAAAAATGTCTCCCAAAATAATGAACATTTATCAGTAAGCAAAGAATATTCAGCAACAACTTCACTGATACTCTGAATATAAATATTTGTCTTTACATAATTTTAAAGTATTTTTTTCATTAATTTTTGAATGTAAGGTCCAAGGCCAGATTGGATGGGATTTTGAGCAAACTGGTCTAGTGGAAGGTCTCCCCGCCCATGGCAGGGCGGTGGAACTAGATGATCTCTAAGATCCCTTCAACCATTCTATGATTCTATGAAGGTACCATGACTCTGTAATACTCAATGAAGCCAATAAAAGTTCATGCCTGTCAGCATTGAGTTGAAATTCTTTATTAGTATGAAATATCCAGGCATGAAGTAAGTAAGTTTGAACTGTGTTCAACTTTCCATTTATAGCTGCTGCTCTGTCCTCAGCTGAGATGAAGGATTTTTCTTTAATGTATAATCACAGTAGTTCATTTCAAATGCAGTGAGGTTTAGAGTGGCAAATAGGATGCGGGGTAAAAAGCAACAAAGAGTGATTGAGGAGTGAGCCAGGGGCACACAGCAGCAGGCTAATGCAATGTGGGTGGATGAAACACACCTACAGTGGCTTGTTCAAGGACTGCAAAGGTCTGGAGTAGGTTTTTGTACAAACTATTACTGCCCCCAGTGACTGCTTTGTTTTCTGCCTTGCACGGACTAACCCAAGAGCTATGTTTAAAGAGAGGTGCACACACTTTCCCCAGTCTTCATTTCTCAGTCATCCAGACTGGTGTATAGTTCAGGCTGCATTTTCTACTGAAACAGAAACAGACACTCCTCATGATAAAGAAAATATCAGAAAAATATTCCCTGTATCGAGCTTTGCACCCATACTTTTCAGACCTGCATTATCTGACAGCACCCCTTAGAAAATACCTGTCTACAAACAGATGGCACAAAGCCCACACATTTAACCAATGTAATGATGACAGTTTCTCCACTGAAGATAAGGAGATGTTTATATTGCTTTCAAAGTGCAAACGAAGCAAAACCAGGAAGCAAAAAAAGCTGACAAAAATTAAAGTGATATAATGCACAACTGTTGTCTCCTTAAGATGCTCATCACTAGTTTTCTACACGATGGAACACTGGCACAATGGAAAGCATGTAAAACTTAAAGCTACAGCCATGTCTATCAGAAGATGGATGGATTAAAAGAACTGTAGGAACCAACTTTTCATACCAGTACATCTCCACTGAAATAAAGACAAGAAAAAAAAAAGAGTTGAAGGAAAAAGTTTTAAAGTAAATTAACCAACTCCAAACCACTTATAGAGGCAAACAGTAAAAGGATAGGAAGAACTGCTAAAATACAATATGATTCTCACTTACTGAAGGTATGACTTAGGCTTTGATAGCTGCAAATCTGTTGACAAAGTAAATCTATTCAGGAGACAGAGATATGAAGACTAGTGGTTTTTGTTTGTTTGCTTAGAACTACCCTTCAGGTATAGAAAAAACCCTAACTCAGTATAACTTTCTGTGTAGGCCAATTTACCCCACTATGAAGGCCAAGTGAGTCCCATCAGGGTGCAACACCAACTGGAGCAGAATGCCCTGGTCACTCCAAAACAGTAACCTTTTATCCTCACCCTCCAAACAGCATGGAAAGGATTTGAGAACCCATGGGGGCAGTGGAAGATTACTTCCTTGGCCAGCTTCCATCTAGAAGAGTTAAAGAAAGGGTGGAAACAGAAAGGTAAGCAAGACAAAACAAGATCAGAAGCAAAGAAAGCAATGGTATCACTAATACAGTAAGATAAATTGTCAGTTACTGTCCCTGACTTCTACAGAGATTTTTCAAAGTGAAAAACAACAGAAATATTTGGAAATTACTGACCTTGTGACAAAGCAACCCTTTGATTTATTCTTGAATAATTATTTACAAGAGATTTAAAGAAGTACAAAATACTGGCACTCTCACCTTCCTGTATTTTTTTCTAACTACTATGCATTTCACAAAAAAATACAAAAAACTATTCATTCATGCTATCAGTGTTAAGATTAGCCCTCAGGTGATGGAAAATATTACCTCTTTTAAATCACTACCTGTTTATTAAATATTAGACTGAAAATGTATGATGCTTCTTTTTACTTGATGCACCTGAACAAGTCCCACTTTCTTTCTGCCAGACTGGAGTCTGGGAGAGGAAAGAAAAGATAAAAGTAAGGAAGAATCTCATAGAAAGGATTTTTCTTTACAGAGCTCAATTCCACAAAGAAAACCTGATAATTAAATTATATCTGGATTCTAAATATATACAATGATTTGTGCAAACATGTATTTGTAAAGAAAGGTAATTACAATACATCCACTTGTAAGGCTTGCAATGAAAAAGAAATATACTTGAGAGCTCTGCAGAAGAGAGAAGAAGAGAAGAAAAACATATCAGCCAAATAATTCTGATCCATCAAATGGATAAAATCCACAGCTCTAAAAAGTAGCAGGTTGAAAACTCTGAAACTATGTATGTCAGACATTTGCTACAAGCAAAAGCAATTAAGGAGTAGGGGGTGGTGTCAGATCTGTCAAAAAAGCAGAGGAACTAACATGTAGGTGCTCATACAGACCTACCAAGGCACTGAGACTGTCATGTTCTGTCATGGAGAACAGAGCACAGTGAAACTGGGTTTTATTATGGAAACCCTTAACTTTGTACAGAAGCATGCCTCACAAAAGTTCAGGAAGCAAGGATCACTGGTCTTCCTGAAAATGCTTCATCACCCAAGTTATCTTCAGATACAAACAGGTGGCCTACCAGCTTTCAAGCATGACAACTATTGCTTAGTTATGTTGAGATAGCAAGAAGAGCTGCTATATTGGGCACATGGAAACCTTGTGGGTATCAGTATCTACTGTGTAAGTGAAATCACAGACAGAACATACAACATATACAACTCCTCTACATGAACAAATGCACAGCAAGAAAATGACTGGAAAGTGTATTCAAAATTACCTAGCTGTTCATCATGTCTACAATTGATATTACAATGTTTGATACAATGCATGCACTGGAACAGGGGATTGTGGTCAAAAAAGTTAAGAAATTCTGAAACCTAATGTGAGATTAATGGAAGTTTAAGATAAATCACATGCATATTGTTCACATGCAGTGAACAATAATTTTTTTGTACCAGCAAGATTTAATTCTCCTGAACCATGCCTCCAAGCTTATTTTTAAAACCAGACTAGGCTATATAAAATACTTCATGACCAAAACTAAGGAGAAAAAAAAGTTACAACGCCAAAATATTTATAGGCACAATAAGAAATTTTCACACATGACTAATATGGCCACTGATTATTACACATTTTTGGTGAAGGCGGAAAAAAAATCAAGCCAGATCGAGAAGATTAGAAATTAATTCTGTTTCACTAACATTAGTATGAGATTATGAGTAACACAGAGTCTTCAGGAATATGACTACCAAATGCTTCAGCTTTCTGGCAATGAATTCTTTCAGGGTACATGACGATTTAGCCAGAAATAATCCAGCTTCTCCCTTAAATCTTTTCTGCAGACATGAGAAAGAAAGAAAATATTTCTCTTCCCTAATAGCCCAATTTCTTACTGGTTTTAAGCCCAGATTTTTGTAGATTGAATAGAATGTTTCTGGGAAAGCTGCTGTATATATTTGTGTTTGCCAACAAAATCTGTTTGTTTTTTCTTTGTGGTATAATATGATTATCCAGACTTTTATGGTTATAAGTTACTTCTTAAAAGTACCAAGGGAGTGTGGCAAATACTAGAAAGCTGGAGATTCCATCTGCTAACTACCACATTACATTTAATAATTATATAGTACCAGACTGTAAATACGCTGCATGGGCTAATTAAGGTTACACCTAGAGTAGAGAGTTTAGGGTTTGGCATAAATCTAAACTATCACTTTAAGATTTTAGAAAAGTTTATTTTCACTGTATTGCCTTCACTAAGAAAAGGTGTGTCTTTAATGAAAAGAGGAAGTTTTAAATATGGTTTCCTACCACAGCAACTACTGCATGTTGTTTGCTAAAGTGCTGAACTCCAGCACCTCTCCAGGCGCTATTTGTGATGGCTACCACAACACATTGAAAGTGACATTTTCCAAAATACTTGTTTCCCTACTTGGAAACAGAGTGTGCAAGAAAGAAAAAGGGTTCACTATACTTCCTTTATCTTTGTACTTTACATTCTCAGAATATCATTTTATGACAGGTATAAAAGAAAAACAATTATGTGGGCAGCACTGACGTGCACTGAAAGAATTTTTTGCCAGTTAACTTAGAATATGACCAGTTTGCATTCCTTTTTATTATCCCTGTATAATAAGTGCCTATCAGCAAACCTCTTGCCACTAGTAGATTTCACTCCTGACTTGCACCCGCAGCCTGTAATATTGCAGTCCTGCACTGTGAAACAGATGCTTACATTTGTACCAAACTGTGATGCACTCAAGTAGAAAATTATCTCATTCTGTTTGGGCAAATGTTATTACATTATGAGTACAACATGATACCACTGATGAGCGATAAACTAGCAGCCTCTGAATTTCCATGGTGCTTACAGCCACTTCAGAGGAACTAAAAATACACCTTTCAAAACAAATGCTACATACAATAATGCTTAACTAGTCAAAGTACCTTGGTTAACATAGTACAAACTCATGCATGACCATGCCTCAAAGAACAATTTTTTTCAGCAAATTTTACACTAATTTGATACCCATTTAGCAAAACCAGTGATTGATATTCAACTGGCCCTGAGCAACCTGATCTAAACAGCCCTGCCTTGAGCAGGGGATTAAGATTAGATGACCTCCAGAGACTTTTTCAACTTAAATTATTTTATGACTCTATGAGTATTCGGAAAGTAAATCAAAAGAATTACCAACAACTTTTCACATAATAGTCATAATCAAATAATAACAATAAACCACAAAAACTATTGTCTCTTACCTGCTATATACTTTGGTTAGTAAGTTGTTTATCTGTTTATCCATTTTGTATCTTGAGTAATCTTCCAAACCATCCTTCACTGCAATAATTGTTAGAACCCCTACCAAAGGTAGCATTGTAATTTCTTTTTGGAAAGCTTCCACCAGAGGAACCCAATTTAGGACAACTAGAAATAGGAAATACAAATTGGCAACTCTGAAACAAAGAGAAAACACAGGAGTTAGCTGTACTAGCAGACAGTGATACTTATTTCCGCTCTCCATGCTATATAGATATTTAAGTTAACAGCAATTGCCTTTTCTTCCCCTCAACTGCAATTTAAGAATTAATTAAGTATTCGAAACTCTGTTTTCATGCTCCAGTCAACAGATTACTTAGTTGCACAGTTGCTTAATATACATGACCAGACAACACAGAAATCAAGAATTTTCCTTTATTTTCAAAACTGTCCTCCAGGTACATGTTTTCTAGTGAGGCCCTGGTGAACTTGCACTCTCTCAAATTTCCAGGTCTTTTAAACTTAATTTTATCATCTCTTAGGGGAGATGCCATGTCTTAAAAAGGAAGCCATCCTACAATCTCCCTGTATAATTTTACAAATAAGCAGTCCTCCAAGCAGAAGGAAAATGAAAAAAAAAAAAATTGGCAAGGGAGATAGATGTGAAGGAAAGGGAAAAACACATTTACAGGAAATGAGCTGAAAATCCTACTGCAGATTGGTGTGTGGCAGTGCTCCAAGAGCAAGAAATATTCAATAGTCCAAAGAACCAAGTAAGTGGAAAGCACATAAGCTAAGGAGAAAAGGATCACTCCAGTATTGATGCTATTTAAGAGACTTTGGCCAAATAACACATACCTTTTCAGAAGCGATAAGCAGGTCAGGAGGAAGAGTAATTTTTGTATAGAAAGCAACACACACACATTTAAATAAAAATATTTCACTTCAGAAGAATTACCACAATCAAAAAAGAGTTAATTACCTGTGAAATTGTTCAAATAAATTCCGTGGTAAAAAATTCAATAAAGTATACTTGGTAGTCCGTATTTTGTTGTTCATGTATAGTTTGGATACTTTTTCATACTCTTCTTTAAAATGTCCCAAACAGGGTATCACTATCCTGTGTTTGCCAGTAGTTTTTGATGATTGATGGCACTTGCCACTTGAATTGCTGCTGCTGCTTTGCCTGCCCTCTGCTGATATCAGTCGCTGCCAACGGTATCGCGCCCAGCGGATGGGATCTGCCATTGCGCCTGAAACGCTCTATAATCCAAGGAGTGTCGTCTATCTAGAAATGTTTTAAAATACAGCAAGTTACATAACAATTCTATAAAGGCTTTTCAGCTAAAAACTCGCAGTTATAGTTTTGAATAAGCCCAGGGAAAAAGTAATTTTCATATTTCGACTAAGGAAAACCAACCCAGACAGTTAACAGGTTATGCAAGGCCAGGAACTTCTGCTTCAAAGCAGAAATTTCATCCACCCTTTCAGGAACCTAGAGTTTGATTACTCTGTTTAAAATGCACAAGTGCTTTTTAATAGCAGCCAGCCCACCAGTTTCTCATGCTATAGTATGAAAATAGCAGACAAGCTGCTAAGTCTGCAGGGAACTGCATTTTGAAAGGAATCCTCATCTCAGACACTGCAGTCCATACTGCAGGTTAACAGACTTTACTAAGTAAACTCAGAAGTCAACAATCTAGTCAATATGAATCTGAGCACAGACACAAAGTGAGGAATTGCCAGTGAAAGGCACTAAGCAACTATCATGAACAAAACCCCTTTTCTATTGAATTAGAAACAGGTTTGAGAATTTTTAACAACTGACAGAGGATGAATAAATTTCATGCAAACACTTCTCCATCCAACTAGCCAAGCCCTAGCATTCTACACAGGAATTTGTTTTCCTAAAGAAAGATGAAGTTCATAGCTGTAGGTGATACTCACTTTTTCAAATCACCTAATGCAGTCAGAAAAACCATGTTTCAGTAGAAGCTCAAAAGTGCTGGTTTTTATAATTAAGTTCTTTACAATTTATGAGCTTTTAAACCTTAATGGTTGCTACATTTCTTGTAGTACTTCTTCCATAGAACAGCTCATAGTATATTTGTTTAAAACTATAAATTGCGTGAGCCCCAAATCATCACTACTTCCCACTGCAGATTACTTCCCTTCCATCTGGTATCTTACTATTTGCATACATTCTAGGAAAATTTTTGACTAAATTCTCTTCCTAAATTCCCACACAAAAGCTGCTTCTAAAACTTGCTTTATCTTTCTAAATGAGACCTCTTTACAATAGACCCCATGCAATCATCAAATTAATCCTAATTTTGGCTTTAATCAATTCAATCTTCATATTCATGTGGTATCTCTCTGCCATTGACAAATGCCACTGCTCAAGATTCCTCTAAAATGCTCCTTATAAAAGCAATTTTCCAAACTACTAATCTATTTTATCCAAACTGTCTTCTCTTATATACCGTCCTTGATTTCGTCTTTTTTCTATTACAATTGTAGAAAACTTGAAACACAGGCACAATGTCCTCAGTAGGTCCTCTGACAATGAGACAGTATTTGTATCTCTACATCAACCTGTTCTGTTCTTAAAAAGAAGATTCCCCAACATTCCTAAAGAGCTTGGTCCTCTGCACAACCACCCTTCAAGCTGGAAAGGTTTTTCCTACTGTGTCTCTGGCCTCTTCCCCTCATGAAATAAGAGGGTACATTTTTGTCCTATCACCATTAGATGTGGAAAGTTATTGACTGTTACAATCTTAATGTCTCAGAGGATTGTTACCATGTACACCAATATCACATTCCTCATTAGAAACCCTGAAGGAGGGAAAACCAAACCCCTATATAGCATCTCCCCTCAGCATTCCCTGGCAGTACCCTACTGTTCTTGCAAGGCCCTTCTGCAGCACTCCCTCAGGCAACGTAAGGGACCAGTCTGAGAAAAAGGCTGTTTTTCTCAGTCCTAAATCCTGTCATCCCAGTAACCATCAGACTAACAAAGGTTGCATGGGAAGGAAGCGTTCTCAGAGGAGAAAGAAGGAGGTTGTGAAGATTTTCCAAAATACATGGCATGCTCTTATTTGCACAGAATGTGTCATCTTCTATCTTTGCTTCCTCTAATCCTACTGCCTGGGAGACAGTTCCCAGAGGGACTGCCCTCTGCACAGAGGTTCCTACCCCATTTTAGTCAGGATCAGTCTTTCCACCAGAAATGGAAACTGACATCTAGAAGCAACTACTTTACACACCTTAACTACTTTTAATGCATGGCTACTGTATAGTCATACATATGAACACTGGTCTGTACACATGTGAGAGATGCTTCAATTCATTTACACTGAGCCTGAGAACAAGTCTGAAGCTTGAAAGGTAGCAAGTCTTCAAAAATGTTTAGGTACTGTAGAACATGCTGCTGGTGGAGTCCATGCATGGCTGTGAAGAGCTCTTCAAAACACCTAGAGCTCTCAAAAACCAAATTAACACAACTCAGGACTGAAGCAAACATAGTACTGAAAAAGCAGACAAAGTATTGAAAATTAAAGACATTAAAAAGATGACTTCCTGAAAAGAGGTACAAATGTTGGCAGCTCAGCTATTAAAAAAACCCCAAACATCTAGATTTTGGATGACATCCTTAAGGCTTGGCCATTTTGAGAAAACACCACTTCTTAACAATCTCTGCTGTGACAACTCAGTAATTTCTGACAAACAGATCTTACGTAGTGAGGGACCTTTTCAAATAAACGTTTGTTTTAATTAACAATATGCTGAATTCTCAGGGAGAGTTTTAACATGATTCTTCTAATAAACTTATCAGATTCTCTCAAGGTTCTGTTTTTAGCATGAATCATACAAGGTGTGTCAATTAACCACACTTTTGTTTGAAACAACAACTCTTTGCCCAGTGATCTGATATATCTCTACATACTGTTACAATGTCCTTACAGAAAACTTAAGTAAGTAAATGCTGCAACCCTTTCAGGATGCCACAAGTGAGATATTTGAGAGCAGGTAAGATTTGTAGTGAAAATCACGTTTGTTTTCATAAGACCTTTTTTCATAAGGTCTTTTTGGTTTTCATAATTTATTATCTTTTATAGTATTTGATACTCAATGACCGCTATTTAAAAAAAAAAAAGGGGGTTGTCAGCAGAATGGAAGAGTACTGGACATTTTAATATGACAGCATGGAATTCCTCAGATGGAATTCCTCACCGCTGGATCTGGAGCTAAAGGTTTAAACTACGTATGCAGTGTTGCTGAAGAGCAGTCACTCCTCACCACACACCCTTGATTCCTGACACAGCTCCAAAACCTCTGCCCCACCCTTCCTCATCTAAGGAAGAGCTTAGAAAGGGACAGGAAACATCATATTCAGTTGTGTGCACTACATATTTCTGCCAGTATCCCCAGTATTTTAATGTAACAACTTTTAAGTAAACTTTGAAGATTGTATGGATCAGAAATAACAAACATGAACTTACTACACTTGAAACATTGTATGAGAAACAACAAGTAATCTCCTATGATCAGAAAGGTGAATCAGACAATTAACCAACGTCTTGGGAAAAAAGCATCTGGACCTCATACTCTGCCACAATGCCCTCTGACTCACCTGGGATTTGACAGAGCTACCATGTGAAAATGCTTTTTTTAAAAAATCATTTGCATCGCCATGTTAAAATAGGATTTATAAGGTTTCAAACTTCAGAAATCTCTTTTGGTTTTTTTTTTACGATTTAGAGTAATTTTATTACTCTTTCTCATTAAATTTGGTTCAGAAAGTAATGAACACCTTTTCTTTGGTCAAAAGGAGTATTGTCACCTTCATGTTAGATATTAGCAAGGATTAAGTTACCGAAGATCAAAAAAAGGCTGTTTTGAACAATTTTTCTAATAAATCTCTTCCCTTAAAACATCACTTGACCCACTTGTCATGCTATTTTTCATTGTAAATTCTTGAGTTCTCCAGCTAATGTGAATCCAAAGTAGTAGTACAAAATGGCAGATAATTCTTTAAACACTAGCAAATGACCCACAAGACGACTTACTGTGAAGAACTATTTTTAGAAGTTTATTTTTAAAAAAATGTTTGTTTAAAAAAGCCAAGAATAACATTCAAGTATTTGAAAACAGGAAGCCTAAATGATCACATGCCAAGTTTTGAGGACAATGTCCTCAAACACAAGCTAGAACATCCTCATTTTCATACTACGCACTCAGGTGAACACTACTTGATCTTGCTGAATGGAAAGAGCTGATATAGAGCGAATTCAGGTATGTCTTCACTCAAAAAGTCAAGCTTTTGCAGCAAGCTTAGTAATGTCACATGATAATGATGAAATGTGGAAGGAATTATCTGACACTGGACATACTTCCTTTCTCTCTACACCAGTTCCTTCATGTACTCTGATTCCCTCCTCTTCTTATAAAGCACTTTGAGATATGAAAAACTGGAAGGACTAGACACGGTTAGCATGAAATAGCTGGCTGTCATATCTTTGTTAATGCAAAGCACAGCAGTGTCATTTTTACCACAGGGCAGATCAACACTATACACTACCCATGTTTAACCATCCTATATCACAGTAAAAACAGCCTTTGAGAACTCTCTGCTAGTGGTAATACCGAGAAAACCCCTTCTTTAAATGGTTTGCACCCTGAAAGAAGGGCCTTTCATCATAAAGCCCAGCAGAAGCATTATCTTGTGTATTTCATATTCACAATTTGTTTTCTTTTCCAATTACTTGCCTTCCACTTTCTCTTATAAATTCTATCAGCTTCCAGTTCTGCAAAATATCACCTGCGTATCTGCACGCACACCTTTGCTCCTAGCCTTCCTGCAGGGGGACCAAGCTGAGACTAAAAATTCCTTAATTCCAGTTATATTATTGGTAGCCTTTAGCAAAGCACTTAGCAATCACTGACCTCTCCCATACTAGATAATTTCTTAATATTGTCAGCAAAACAGGTGTGTAGATAATTTAGTCTATGTTTATGCTCCAGAACTGCACCTTACTATTATGTTGTGGTCATCTGCTCACATGTTACTTGAAGTGCCTTACCACTTACCCTGTCTTCTCCTGACCACTTCCTCCCTTCTGACAACATCCTTCTCTTTTGCTGTGATCTCCAAATAGCTAGTCCTTGTTCTTCTTTTGGAAAATTATTTGTTAAATACACTTGGCAAATGACACTTTTGACAAAAATGTTCCTCAAACCTTTGGCACATGCATGTTTATGGTGTGTGTTTCTATTCTGTTCCTTCTCAGGCAGTGTGCAATAGGCCTTCTGTGTCATCTGTGCTGGTTTGCAGTAGGAAGTAATAAATCAATTCTCAGCAAACAGAAATGCAATCAATAAAATTGCATTATCTTATCTGAAAAATGTCTACAGCACCCAAAAGGGAAGCAATTCAGACAATGCATCTCCCCAGCAACATCCCTTTTCTTTGCTCTGAACATTTCAAGATGTTCTCCAGGTTCTGGGTGGCCTGGGAAGATAAAAAATGCTGACCTAGATGCAGGTTACACTACACAATGCTATGGAAGAGTGGATCATCCCTGATCCACACAGAAGTCCCACTAGAACATCGTAGCAAGTGTTACTGTGCAGGTTCATTAGCTTGTCTCACTATACTGCAGAACATAAGAGGCTAAATGTTAAAAGCTCCTTCTAATCATCTTTTAAAACTCAGAAGCTATGAGACAATGCAGAAACTTAAGGGAGGCAGGGCCTGAAGGTTAATTTACACTCTGAAGAACAAGTTCATCTTTTCTCCTAAGGTTTGCTACTTTCTCTGTAACATGCCATTTCACAAATTTGTCACGTGTCTTTGCAAGCCAACGTGGAATCTGCAGAGACACTCTAACATGCCAAATAGATCTGGATAAGACTTGTGCAGCCAATTTATGAGACAAGCAGCCAAAAACCTGTGGGAATCAAAACTTCAATTTTAAGAAAAATATGTGGTTACTTGCAACAACCACATAATCTGAGTTATATTTATAAAGGGGATACTAAGAACTCCTGAATTAAGAGTGGAAGGCAGACGTTATTATGAAAAGTGAATTGCTGTGGCACTATTTTGCCACGCACTCCTACCTACAAAGTCTAATTTAGCATAGGCAAGACTGAAAACCTGAAAGCTTTGAAATGCCTTGATCCTGAAAAGGAAATTTCTTGGTTGTGAGTATGGTAAGCCAGCCATCAAGAGCTGTTCACAAGTAAAAGACCATCAGCAAGCTGCATAAAACCCAGGAAGTGCCAAGGCCCTGACATAAGACAATTTAGTAGTAAACCACACATGAAGTAGTATTGGTTCATGCACTACAGTGTGGGAGCAGTATAAAAAACCCAAAAAATCTCCTTCACCTTGGGTAAAATTATTTAGGATGCCAATCAGATCATGTACCTACAGACACAACCAAACCATGCACTAACATATTTCAGACGAGCCACGTATTTCTGCTCCAGGTAATCAGTTCCAAAATAGAACTGAAGGCTGCTGAAGCGTGATCATTTTGTGCAAATATTTTACTTCCTTTTCTCCATTCATGAGAAAAGTTTTGCTTTACACCCTGTTCTCATGCGACACACTGGTTTCAAAATTGTAAACCAAAACCTTCCAGGTTAAGTGTCAGTCTTTTATGACCATCTTTCCACACAAGTGTATCTTTAGCTTATGGTCACGCAGCATTTAATCACTACAGATGCTTTGGTATGCGTGAAATTCACATTAATTTTGCAGCAAGACTAAGGTGTGGGCCACGTTAAAAATTTATACTGGTGTTCATGTGGTGCAGAAGGATGTGATTTTTTTTTTGTAGCAGTGTACACTCCCTATGTTATTGTAAATAGTTCTAAAGGAAATGGATCCATATTGGCAGTATTGCTGGTTTTTAACTATGCTGATTTATTTAAAGGGCCAAAACTCTGTTGAGTAGATGAGGTCTAGGGTACTTATTGAAATTTATACTGAAAGTAAGAAACTGTACTTGAGTTCCTAAAATCCTAGATTAGGCCTCTGACTGGTTTTTCTTTTTTTTTTTCTCGTTTTCTAAGACACCTACATTGTCAGCTATTCAGGAGGTCTGGAAACTACTAAGGCATCCACTGAGGTTTTCAGGTCTAATTCTCTAAGGTTATTGAATTTTTTACAAAACCTACCCTTGTATAATCTCAGGAATACAAACAGATATTTGTCACAGAGCAATAAAACTGGCCTACTGTTTGGGGATATTTTGAGGGGAATAACCTGTGAATCCACTTTAACCACCAGAGAGTTTCTGCAAGACTACAGAACATGAATCTAGAGATGATTTTTCAGGCCTGAAAGTGAGAAGTGACCTACAGCAATTCAGGACTCAATTATAAATGTGTATCTTCTAAAGCTTTATTAATAAATTGAAGCCAAAATATATAGAAGCCTGAAAAAAATGCAAGTAGTTGAGAACACTCAAATTCTGACCCTAGTAACCCCAAAACTATTTAAGACACTATAGAATTAGTGCTGAGAATAGCTGAACTGAGTTAAAAGTTGACACTGAACGGAATAGCTCTTGCTTCTACCTCCTGCTCCTATCCCTCCTTGATAATTGATCTGCTACTTACTGAACCTGATTCTCACTGATCTACAAGACCTTATACAAACTTAAAGACAATAACATTACTGGATTTCCCAGTCCATCGTTACAGCTGTGAAAGTACTCGTGTTGGCATAAGCAAAGTGGGACAAGAACGTCAGATTAGAGTGACTATCTTTGAGTACTTATGTGGAGTACTTGGTCCTGGTTTTAGCATAGTTTTCATTAGATATATAGATCAGCTCTGGCTATTGCCTTTCATATTCAGATCATCCACAGCAGTGGCAAGTAACAGAAGAATGTAATTCTTGCCTGTCAGTTCTACCTTTTGCTCCTGTAAACTGTAATGCCCACAGCCTAACTGCAAAGATTCAATCTAAAACAATGACTTCAGACCAGCTTTTGGGGTACACAAGACTTAAGTGATTTAAATTCCACCCTGATTTTAGGTAAACCATTTAGCGCCTCTCTGCTGCAAACCACCACTTACAAAAACAGGAATAATGACAATTCACTTATCTCTTGGTGATGACATGAAGACAAATATGTTTGAAATTAGAGGTTTCTCAAAACTGCGGTCATTGGTGAGTACACGAATACCCTATACGTATGGCTTTAGTATTACAATAACAGTAATTTTGATATTAAAAGTACCTTTTTCTTCAGTAGCTGTATTTCTGACAAGAACTTTGATTTTTCTTTTCCATCGCTAAGCCCAGTAACTATTATTGTGGTCCAATCCTGTGAGCGACCCTGTCCACTCTGCACCCCTGGGTACTTTCCTGAAGCTCCAGGAATTTCCCTGTGACTTACATGGACTTAAGTCTACTTCTTCACCATAAATCTGTAAAGTACTAAAAAGCTTACACCTCACTCACCACCACGAGCTATTAAAACAATAGCTTTTCTTTCTGGAGTCAAAGTTTTCATTACCTTTCCTTCTGGTCTGCTGCCAGAGCAACTCAATCGAGGAGATTAAGATACGCGGGGGTGGCTGGCGGCGCAGGGGACATTTAAAAACATAAAAGCACAAATCGTCCTCGTACCCCCGAGCTCCCGCCGCCGCCGTGCTCTGCAGGGGCCGTGCCGGGCTCCTCAGCGCTGGCCCTGCAAAACGCCACCCGGATCGGGCAGAAGGGACCTCTCTCCCTCCGCCACCGCTGCTTCCACCTTTTCCCGCCCCAGGTCTCGGTCCAGAGGCCCAGCACCGGTGCTCCCCACCACGGACCCGACACCGCAGCAGAGCTGCCCACCTGAACCCCCGACAGGCTTACCGATGGCACCGCGCACATCCCAGCGGAATGGCCGCGCCCGGAGCTCCCCCCCAACCCGGCCCGCCTCCTCCCGCCTCCTCCCGCCTCCTCCCGCCTCCTCCGCCCTCGCCCATCCCTCCGCACGGCTCTGCTCCTTGTTCCCCGGGGAGTCACTGAGGTGGGGCACTCGAGCCAAAGCGGCTCCTTTGTACGCCCTACTGCTCCGTGTGAGGGCGGGGAGGCTTTGCTCGTTGCCGTAGGGTCCATGGCGCTTGCCCATCCAGAAGTTAGTTATTGTTTTAAGTGGGTTTTGTTTGTTTGTTTGTTTGTTTGTTTGTTTGTTTGTTTTGGTTGTTTGTTTTGGTTGTTTGTTTGTTTTGTATGTTTTGTTTGGTTGGTTGGTTGTTTTTGATTTTTCCCCTTGAGGCCTCAGCAGATGGAGGCTGTGGCTGGAGTGTGGCTGTGACAGAACCTGACGCTCTTGACAGCTTGTCAGGGAAATTGATGTCCTTAATCTTTTGCCATGACAGTCTGAAGGCAGCTTGGCCCGTCTAAACATGAAGTTTTCTAGCCACTGGGCTAATCAAGGATAGCAAACACTTTCTTGTTTTCTAGGAAGTAATTCTCTGGCTGTTGAGAAACTGTCAATACTATCTTAAACAGATCACTGCCATCAGGAACTTCAGTGAGTTATTTCATCAATAGCCATTTTGAAAGAAGTCCCACACTGTCCTTTTTGCTCTTACTGTCTTCCAGGGCACTCTTGAAGGCTGCCTCTTACAGTGAAATCACATGTCCTTTTACATGAAGAGAGAGGATTCCTGCTTCAACATTGTGCAACAAACCAACAGGGAAGGTTAATTGCGGATTCCTTGGTCCCTGTTGAAATACACTGGGATTACCAGTACCTGTCCAGTGTCAACAATGAATTCCTAACAGAGTTGGGAGGGCTGTGCTGAGCAGTGGTAGTTGGCTGTGCTCTCCTTCCCATATACATGGTGTTGTTTTCCCCTGTTGTCCTGCATTTTATTGGGCCCTGCACCCCTGACCAGACACTGAAAATGTTATGGGTATGTTTCAGTGAACAGCAGCTGATGATCTGTTCTTTGAAGTGCCCATGTGGCCAGCAGGAATTTCAAAACACATTGGTGTGTCAGATGGAATAAAAAGACATCTACATGAAGGAAGACCATAACTGCTGTCTTGAAATTATGCAGGTTTATTCTTCTTGGCAGGAAAAGATACGGAGTTCTGTTTCCATGCAGGATCCATCACCTTTGCTGGATCAGGTGCTGTAGGAAAAAGGAAGCAACTCTGGGGAGGGCAGAGCAAGGTACTGCAAGACAAAGGGGATAGTAGGTGTGTCAAAACCACTTTATGTGGTTTAATTGGTTAACACTGATTTATTGGAACTTTCAGCTTGCAGAGATGTTTGAGAAAAAAGAGAACATCACACAGCTCATAACAAAATAGCCACCTCTACTGTAATCACATTGGAGCTGTAAATAATTCATATGCAGAGTCTCACATTTTCCATTCATATTTTTTCATGCATGTCAGTCCATTCTGTAAGCCTACAACTACAAAAAGCATTATTTTGTTTCCTTTGTTTGCCCAGCAGTAACAATTGCCTCAATTAGGCCTGCACAACAGTGCACTGCAAAACTACCTGACCAAACCATAAATGAGCTAGCTTGGCTGCCAGGAAGAGCACAGCTGCCTTAGTGTGGCGCTCTGTTTAGTTTAATTAGATGTGTTGAAGCAGAGCATATGAGGTCTTTGGAGAGGTAGAACTGGTCAGGTGCGTGGGAGGCATTGCTGTCTCCTGACTTGGCCATTACATATAAATATTTTCACTTTTTCCTTTTGTACAACTGTCCTGTAGTATGAATGGTCTTGATCCCAAGCATGCAAAGCAACCATCCAGAATGTCTGAAGTGTAATTAAAACTCTCTTCTCCCAAGTATCCTATGGAAGAGTAACTACAAAGAACACAGTCACCAGAGGTAATGCTTGATTGAGAAATCTCACTGACAGCTTTTCTAGGTAGAGGTAATAACACTCTCATCCACACAGATATATCCTTTTTTTTTCCAGAGAGATCTTTTATATCACCTCCAGAACCGCCACATGCCAAGGGGAAACTACGGGCATTGTGAGAGCTGCTGATGACTCCAGAACAGTTGGAGAGTTCTTTGTGTACTTCAACCCCCCCTAAATGTTCATGGCTGTGATAGCTCTGCAAGTGCAAGCATGAACAGCTCATCCTGCTGTGCTCGTATTGGCACTGTTTGGGACACATGAAAGAGAGGAACTTACGTCACAGCAACTGTCAACCTAACATGTTGGCAGACTGAAAACTTTCCCATGAAGGTCTGAAAGGAAGATGGAAATTTGTCATAGCATGCTATCAAATGTTTCCCAGAGCACCACAAGTTAATGAAATGCTAGGAACCTGGGTATAATTCTCCTCTGGAGAATCATACCCAGTGATGATTCCAGTGCCAAATCCACATAAATAGCAGTGCCAGTGGGGATTTGAGTTTGTGGACATAGCTGGTTATCATTCCTGCAGTATGGATGCTGCTGGATCAGCTTAGTAAGTACAAGATGCATTCATATCAGGTCAGTGGATGTACCTGAGAGATTTGGTGTGTATTTATAGTGTAATAGTGACATACTATGATATACACTCTAGTTTAAATATCTTTGAAGTTGTGGTAGCATATTAATAATAATTTATAGCCAGAAAGGGAATTCATTTTACCCAGTAATTTGTTTTTCACATTTTTCTCCTTAACTCTGCAGTAAAACCAAATAATTTAACCGCACCAGAGATTTTGCAAAAAAAAACACCCTTGAATTTTAAATTACACTGAATTATTGTTTACCAGATCATTGGCTAAATTATGTGTTTAGAGTCCTAACCAATGTTGCCAATGCAAATTAAAACTGTTGTGCACATCACTAAGGTAATTCCTTACTACAAGATCCTCAGATACTCCAAGGTCCTCAGATATATTTCCTGGCAGGACCCCTGTCAGGAAATCCTGACAGCAGGACAGATACACAATGAAGGAAACAGCTGTTTATTTGTTTAGGCTGTGTGTAGCTAAGACCTTTATTTACCATACACTGTCTAAATCTGTATTAGTTTATTGATTTGATCGTGAGCAGATTGTGTTTATCACTGGAGTGAACATTTTATAAAATAGTAATGAATTTTCCTTAATTGCTCTCTGTGAGACAGGAAGGTATTACTACTACCATGTTACAAATAAAAAACTGAAACAAGGGAGAAAGTGTTTGTTAGTGATTCTGAAACTACATAGTGAGTTTGAAAGAACTAACATCTATTTTAATGTTTTTACAGTAGGAGATATATTCTGCGTATATTATGTACATTTTGCAAATCTTGAGAGAGGTAGACTAGGTATGTAAATATTATTGTGGGAACTTTCCTGAAAGGCACCTTCAGGGTCATTAAATGCTTGTTGTTACAAGCATGCCATGTAATCTGGTTCAGAGACTGACTGAGCTTTACCTTAAAAGTAGTTAAGTATTTTGCTCATATTACTGTACTAGAAAACCATTCCAGAGCATGGTTGCTGTGAGGGTTAAGAATTATCTTCCAGCTTCTAAACTCAAACTTATACCCATTAGCTATTATATTAGCAGTGACCACTGTTTCCATTAAATAATTCTTTTTGTTCCTGGTGTTTATCAATCCACCTTTGTTTTGCTAAAGTAAACCAGATAAGAATGAATTATATCAAACTGAATGAAGGCTAACTAAGTTTTGAATAAAGTGTCCAGCCAAAGGTGTTTAACAAATCCATTCAGACCTTAGTTACAGCTGGATAAATTGCTGTGACACAGCTTGTGTAGACGAGTTTTAAGGGAGTGACTGAAATATTCACTCGTGCAATCCCCATGCTTTGCCTGTGGTTTATACCATTATGTTTAGACAACTGCAGAATGCCAGGAATCAGGAAGCTTGTGTTATATCTCAGTTCTGGAGGGCAGTTATTAGCAGTCAATAGCAGTTGTTGTTTTTGGCATAGGACTTCTCGATTACCACTCACTGTGGTTTAGCTGTCATGTGTGTTAGGAACTTCCATCCTGAAAGTCACTAAGATGATGAGATTTTTTTGTTCTAGAGATTTTCATTCTTTTGCCTGTTCAGCAGAAAGTAATTATCAACTGGAATTTAACAAGGAATCTGAAAGTCTTTCACTTCTAAGAGGCTCAGAATTACCAGGACAAGCAGAAAGTCATCTTATTTGAGATACTGTTATCTTGTTGCAGCTCCTAGTGCAGCAAGAATTTACTTCTTATCTTGGCATTTGTACTTCATCCAATAAGGGAAGCTGAATTGCTAATCAATAGTGAGACTCCAGCTTCTAACAATCCTGGGTCACTATTCCTGAACTAACATGGGCTCATTGAATAAGAAGACACAAAAAGTAACCCTAAAGAAAGGGAACACCATCTAATGCTGCTACTTCTGGGCTGATGGAAAAGTGTGTATGGTTGGAAAATAGTTCTAGCTAAGTGGAATTGCACACACAGGAGCTTTGATGCACCTGGGTAAATTGCTTTATCCTTTCTTTTTCTGTTTATTTTGATGGGGCAATTTCCCATGGCTAATCTTCAACCTTATCTACAGCTGTAGACTTGTCATTAGCTTGTTTACAGGTTCATTGTGTGTCAAAACACTTTTGATATGCACTTATGATATGTATTTATGCACCTTCCTTTTCACTGTATATGTAAGCAAGTTGACTTGTTGATTTTATTTGGTCCACAAAATAACCTTAATTGTATATCTTCTTATCAAACCACTCTATCAGCTAATGAAATGACCTGAGTCAGTGATATCAAATGAACTATTTAGTAAATATGGCCTTTTTTCTCTCTCTTTGCTTGTAGAAAGTTATTATCTGGGCTATAATATTTTTCTTTTTGTGTGTGTGTTTTTGTTTTGTTTTGTTTTTCCATTAACTTTTGTTTACAGCTTTTCTAACTCAGTTTCTGCTGGCTGCCAATCACATTTTGTCAATATTCTAAC